AACACAGGCCAAATGCCAGATGGGTTAAGTGTCAGGGGTGTGTGTATTGAGAGACGCTTCAGAGGTGAGACGTTTCAGAGGTGTGACTGTGACAATAGGACTAGTAAAAGTGCCTTCCTTTTTGTAGAGATTAGAACACAAAATTAAACAATTCCAACTGATGACACATCACTTGGAAAGGTGTAGGTGGAGCATTTAACTTAAAATCAAACTAGTCATAAGACTGTCATTTCAAGGTGCTGTACCGGAAAGACCTTACGAAGGGGTAGTAGGTTTAAGAGAATGAGATAATATTTAATCTAGAGGCCTGAATAAGCAAATCAGATAGTGATTTACCACCATCAGCAGACAGATCAAGAGTGCTAACTGAATCAAGTGTTGCACTTTGTTATCCTAGTAGCGGTCAAAAGCTGTGACACCCTTTATTTTAATCGCCAGACTTTTTACATAGAATGCAAGAACAATGCAAATGAGAGGAAAAAAATCTATATAAACAAAATAAAGATAAAATATAAATTTTAAACATTATTAAAGAGAAGTAAACAGTCTGTAATAAAATAAGAACAAATGAGCAAACTACAAGCAATAGCACAAATAAACACACAATAGAAAAAATATACAAATGAAATAGTACTCTCAGGTTTTTCAGGTAGATCTAGTAATGAAAATGTAAAATAACACTGCATAGTCTTCACTATATAAATTAAATATAGATGCATCCTTATTAAAGTTACTAAATTTATTCAGTCAAGAGCAGTGAGTGATTTTTTTTTTGTTGCAGTGAGTCATTTGTTGTTTGATTAACATTAAAAACATCAGGGCAATTCCAGCGTTATGGACGTGACATTTGCAGTCAAAACTCGAAATATAAATTCTCAGAAAATGCATTTAATACCAATATATTGAAACGTCTGTTTATATATACATACTCCCTTAATAAAGGAGTCCAGACATTAGAAATATATCAGTCTACACATGCGTTTTGCATTTAATATGAGGGAAATACACATGCGTTACAAAAAAAATCTTTAACTTTTAGGTGTATTTTTTTGTAATTCTGTGAATTACACTGCGCAAAACAGAAGTAATACTACCCACCGGATGCAGAAGGGTTGGCTCTCCACAGAACATAAAATATTCATTTCATTTTATTTTTCGTGTTCGCATTTATGAGGAAAAAATAATGTTACGGACTAGGGGTGGAACGGTACATGTATTCGTACCGAACCGAAACGGTATGGGCGTCACGGTTCGGTGCACGAATTTACACGGAGAATACACGGTATAAAAATAAATAAAACTCGCGTGGAAATTAATTAATGTAATGCGGAACTACTGTTAGAACGCGGGTTCTTTAGGGACACATAATCTGTACCATCGGCTTTGCTCTGGACGCGCGTTCACTTCAAACGTTGGCTTTATACGCGCGTCCTATTCGCTTTGGACTAGCATCGAACTAGACGCGATAGACGCGAATTTAACGCTCTATTCGCGTTTGGTGTGACCACATAATGAACAGGCTGCGATGTCAAGATTGCAATGCTGGAGTGTGTGTGTTTGTGTGTGTGTGTGAGAGAGAGAGAGGCGCGGCCGCGATCGAACAGTGGAAACATAAAAAACATACTCCGTCATTTTGTTCATACAGATCATTAAACCTGCAAAGTGTTTACTTATATTTGTGTACACTCGCAATAAAACACAACATTGTGCTTTTGTCACACTGTAAACTCTTGTCAAACTGTAACCTACAACTGTCACCCAACCAAAATCTCTCTCACACACACACACACACACACACACACACACACACACACACACACACACACACACACACACACACACACACACACACACACACACACACACACACACACACACACACACACACACACACACACACACACACACACACACTGTTTTAAAAGCAAAACATATTTATCCAACTCCATTTCAAAACAGTCTGTGGGTCCCATCTTTTGGACATTCATCGCATTGGTTTTCATTTCTTGTCCTCGGAGCACTAATCTTAAACATTCTACATTGATTAAAAAAGAAAATCGAATGCGTTATTAATGGTAGTATTATTTTATACAGAAATCAATTATTTATAATTCAGATGAGAATAATGTTACATTGTTAATTAATAATGTTAATTAAAATTAAGGAAAACAAATATATTGATCTGAAATATAGCAAATTAATTTTAAATTAATTTAGGTACAATTACCAAACATATCGCAAGGTCTTTTTGTCTTTTTATTAATTTAATTAATAAACTAATTATATAAAACTATTGTCAGTGCACTACAAATAAACTGGTTCTATGCCTTTATTAATAAAACTTATTTAAAAAATACAATGCCTTCTGCATTTTTGTTTTGCTTTTCCCTCCATTGTACCGAAATCGTACCGAACCGTGATGTCTGACTCTGAACCGAGGTATGAACCGAACCGTGACTTCTGTGTGCCGTTCCACCCCTATTACGGACGTGACAGTTCTCTGTTACGGACGTGACCACTCTGAAAGCGGCACTAAAAGACTGCTTTAAAACTTTCACAAGACCTCAAGCAAGGCATTTAAAACACCAAATATTAAGGATTGACATTTCAAGCAAAAAATTATATTCGATGATTGTTCGAAAATCGTACCTCTCCCCCCCCCACATGCTCACCGGTAAGACGGCGTCGCTCAAATCCCGCTCCAACATTCATTAAAGAAAACGCATTTAGTTTCATATTTATGTTTAAATAAAATAATTGTATTTCATTTCATCTATATTGATTATATGAAAAGTGAACAGCATGAGTAAGATCATAAGATGGGCAATATATCGGGACGGGAGACAAATGGAGTGCAGACATGATTTTAACCACTTCATTAAGTTTGTTTTTGTAGAAAGCCTTTCTTTAAAGTGAATTTCATTTTGTATTAATTGCATCTTAATTTTAATCAATGTTTCATCAACCAATTGCCTGGACTTAATAAATAAAAAATAAATAGCAGACAATATAATCAGAACACAGAGGCGCCGGCGCGTAAACTGGAGCTCGTCTCATAAATTTACCGAAACTCAGCGTATAAGGTAGGCCTACTTGCCTCATAGACCTGAGAAATATATCTATAGAAAGCTTGAAATGTCTACTTTTAAATAAAACAATTCAAAACAAAAGAAAACAGACTGCTCTCTGCTTATGTAATCTGTATGAAATGTGCATTTCTCTCTGGTGCGTTCACTACTGCGAAGATCGCGAGTCAGCATCGTCAACTTCACCTTTGCAGCCGACACTGACACAGAACACACTTGTTTATTAATAAACAATTAAAATGTCTCCTTGCTATATTTTACATATTCATAATCATTACTTTTGCTGGTTCTTTGTGACAGCTTTTAGGTGCGTTATTTGCAGCGTCACCCTTACATGTTACATGAACGCATCAGCACCGAAAATATGTCATATGTGGTGGAAAAACAAGGCAATTTTCTTAATTTTTGATGCAGCACATTAATACAGTATATTGTAGACCTAAATGGACAACTTAGAAAGGGTTTTGATAATAACTTTATTTTTTCATGGCAAGGTTGACATTTGCATGGAATTGCCCAGCAGCAAGAATATTAGGCTGTTGTCACTTTAAGACAATGCACAGATCCAGTATCACTGACACTGTTACACATGCACTGTGTTTCTCGACCGTTTACATTCACTTAACACATAACCGACTACGTTTACTAGGATACCCGCCAAGATGGGCATTTTAACAAATTTGAGTAAAATTGTCCATTCGAGCTTTAAGTAGTCAAATCATTGGCTAATTAAAGAAATTTTAGTCACCTAATGTGAAATTTGGTCACATATGCAAGTGATTTACTTGCATTATAGAGGGTTGAATCTTGAGATATAAAATTAACACTAGCCAAGCGCCAAATGCAAGTAAATATCGGCGTTGGAGAGTATATAAAAGTGTCAATCGCCAGTTGGCCGGTAACATTTTTATGAATCCTAACAATGCATGAACTTGAACAAACGTCTGAAGTGCGCGCCCAAAAAGCGCGCCTCAGACAGCGTGTGAATACTAAACTGAGCTCTCCTTCACGTCTTCTTGTACTTGAGCAGACGAATTCACACAAAATTGTCAAAAAATAGTGAGTATCCTAGTACTAAACATAGTCGGTTATGTGTAAGTGAGCGTAAACAGCTGAGAAAGTAAAGCATGCGTACAGTATGAATAAACTGATGTGTATAACGCATGTGTACAGTACCTGAAAAACCTGAAAAGTACTGTTTATTTAATTTATATCTTTGTTAGATTGTATTTATTTGTGCTTTTGCTTGTCATTTTATTATTTGTTCTTATTTTATTACTGACAGTTTACTTGTCTTTAATAATCTTTTAAATTTATATTAGTTAGACTAGTAGATGTGGTATTGAAATTGCAATAGAGAATTGTGAATTTTCACTAGTATCTAATTTGATAATGTCATTCGCAATACTTCATGGGACTTCATGAGCCATTGATTAGTCTTGTACCTTTGTCTTTTTATCCCAATTTTAAATCCCTTTTTTTTGCTTCAAATCAAAGCTTGTAGTGTTGTGATTCACCTCCTAGCTGGTTGGATTGGTTCATAGCTTATAATGGTTTAATGAAGACTTTTTTAAAAGCCCTATGAGAAAAGTGAATGGAAAAAGTGGCTGGCTGAAAAAAAGTGGGTGGGTGGGGGCATGGGGGCTAATGGCCAATTCACACTGCACCAACAGATGCAGACCAACGGCGACAATCACCAGATTACAGCATGTCACTTCTCAGACATTTCTAATTCAGATTCAGCATGTTCAATCAGTGAAACCCAGCTCAGACAGACGCCAACAGACTCCAACTGGGGTAACACACTGATCCGACAAAACACGAAGTGTGTCTGTTGCCGTCTGTCGGTTCTGTGTGAATTGGCCTCATTTAAAGAAACAACTAGGCCTAGTTTCACAAATACAAGAAACATACCTGTAACTCACACCATGCTACCTCCACCGTGGTTTCAGTATCCAGACCCTTGTAGACGGTCTTGAAAGAGCCACGTCCTATTTCAATATCAAACTTTAAGAAACGGCCATCCGGCGACGTCCCAACTGCATTTGTCTCAACTTCCTCAATATCATCCTGCTCCTTCTTAGCATCCCGTAACTCTGCCTCTACTCGTGCCTTCTCTTTACTTTCTTCATTGTCCTCTTTCTCATCCTCTTGTTTCACGTCAACACTATCTCCAGACTTCAGCTCAGCAGCCAAACTTGGTAATTCTGCAGAAAGAAGCTGTCCGGCATTTGCAATCGACACTGGCTTTGACTCTACGGCAGTCTCCACACAGGCAGCCGCCTTCTTTTCTGGTGCAACCAACACTTTAGCTTGTGTGGCCACAGAAGCGGCTTTGGTTTCCAGGGCAGGTGGTTCGCAAACAAGAGCATGGGAGTCCGTTGAGATGGGTAGGATTGCGTTCTTGCTGGGCAGTTCCAGCGCAGTAGCATTGGAGTCGTTGATGACGCTGCGACGGAAAAAACGATGCTGCAGTTCCCGCTCCATTGTGTGGTGGCGACGGCGGACCTCGACACCAAGACGCTCACCCACCATCGTGTCTGAGCTGGAGCCGTTGACATTCTTCGAAGGGGGGGGAAGGAACTTAACCATCTTGTTGCTGAGATTTTCTGACATTTCTCCACCCAGTGGAGTGAAAAGTCAGGTTAAACTTTACATGCTATCCATGCATGGAAAAAAAGGCAGTATAAATATATGATAATGATGTGGAAACTCAAACCTCCCTCCTCTCAAAACAGCAATTCAAATAAAGTCAATGCTCTTGCTAACTAAAGTGGTGGAGAGGAGCACAGGAAGTCCTTGGTGATAAAAGTAACGCAGGATCCATGCACAGATCAAAACACGTTGATGATAAAAAGGAGACCTCACATCCAGCTCATCCATCCTGTGAAAAACTGTGGGGTGTATTCAATCCACATAGGGGGTCTCCTGAGGGGGCAGGGCAATAGCCCACGATAACTGTGATGATCACTTTCGACTCTTAGGTCATGCCAGGGCACAAAGTTTAACCCTTGCACCCGATTCACTGAAAGAGATAAAATATACTTTAACCAAGGTGGTTAGCCAGAGTTAACAAATTTACACTCAACTTAAAAGTCTGCTTCTACACATTGCAATGGGTTTTCCAAAACCAAGCAAATATTAACCAGTTCAAATGAGGTTACGGGTTTCCTCTCGCTTACTAAATAGCAAGGATGTAACGTTTATTAACATAAAAATAGACCAGTCATACTGAAACTACGAGATAAAGATAGAGTAGGAGGAAGTAACTCTTTGATTTTTGACATTTAAAGCAAATTCTTTTTGTTAATGGATTTCCCAACTAGCTAATTTATAAAATATATATTCTATTTAAATGTAAACAACTAAGGTAACTTACATCTTTGCTTTTTTGTATATTTAACAAATCGTTTGAAGTAAATCCTTCAAGACAGTGAACAAGCAGTATCTATCTTCAGTACAGTGAACATATGTTGCGGGATTAGTAAATTAGATTCACCCCTCACCATGTGTGAACACCATACAGTCTACAGTTTCAAATAAAATAAAATAGTGATGACTTTTTAAATTTTCCTTTGAGGAACACAAAGTTAAATAGACTACTGAAGAATGTACTGGCCAATTTTTCCACATGCAATGACTGGAAATGAGTGGCGAATCAAGATGTCAAGCCTCAAAATCAGCTTCATTAAACAAACGTCATTATGTCTCTCATAATTATCATAAGACTACAGAAAATAATTGGAATAACGTTACAAGTTATCCCAAGAGTCGTGTGGACTAGTTTTTATGATACTTTTATAATAAAACCAGTCTCCATTCACAATCATGAAAAAAAAACTAACAGCAACTTTTCGTAATGTCTTTCTTCAGTAACTTATTACACAGACGAAATTAAGTCATAAGGGGTTGAACCGACATAATCTTGACGAGAGAATTAATTAATTTTTAGATGAACTACGTTATCCCTTTAAGTGAGTCTATTTCCTCTTATATCTGGTGTTGACCAAAAAGCTGCTAAAACCAAGGTTAACTGCTAACGTTAGTAAATAAATAAATATTAGTCACGGCCCCGTTTAGTTTTACAAACGGCCGTTTTTTCAGCACATTTAAGACAAAAACTTACCATAATGTTAAGCGTCGTCGTCGTCATCTTCAGTTATTGGTGAATAACCAACGGCCAACTCCAGGTTTAACCGGTAATTCCCCAAACGCGCGTGCTCAGTATTTGAAATAACGTTTAGCCGGCGGAAATCAAGTGAGAAACTAAATGTCTCTCGCGTAACAGATTTTTAGCCGGTAAAAATACGCCAAAATGGCTAACCGTCGGTTACTGTGCCTCGGCTCAAACCCGTCTCGAGCGACAATGCGAAGTTCGAATGTCAAACACTACAACAACGTGCCGCTTCCGCTAATGGTTGCTCGCGAGACTGCAGAGCAGGTTCTCTTTGTTATTCCCTTTCATCTGACCTCGATTCATCTCCCTTGTACACTCATCCACTGCATGACGTCGCGCGTGCAAACGACGCAGTTCAAGTTGACGTTAAAATATTTACATCTACAGGATGCAAAACAACAATCGAAAACCCTTGAGACTATATCCATTTATGCCGCCACGAAACTTGGTTTTGGGTGCAGCACGCTCGCGAGCGCTTTGTGGCTCTATTGTTTACAGTTCAAGATCCCACACAGATGTAGACGATTTGCACGCACTGGGTTCAAGGCTGCGCAATCTGCTCATCCCGTCGATTCTCTACATTTTCGCCATCGCACAAATTCATGTTACATGAACAAACCGGTTCGTGCTCAACAATAACCCAGACTCTGTCCACTCCCCCTGCTTGTCTAATGTCTATCTGGAATAATCTCTTACAGTTAGAAAATAGCGCCGCCTGCCGAAGCATCACGCGCATGTGTGTTTTAAAGGAACAGTTCACTCAAAATGACAATTGTCAACATTTACTAAACATGCATGACTTTATTTCTTCAGTGGAACACAAAATGAGATGTTTGGCTTAATGTAAGCCTCAGTCACCATTCATTGTTTTTGCATCCTTTTTCATAGTGAATAGGGTCTGAGACTGTTCTTATTCTCAGTGTACATGCCATGATAACTTCTTAAATATAATGCCCTTTTCACAAGATGTAAAATAAGTCTCTGATGTCCCCAGAGGGTATATATGAAGTTCTAGCTCAAAATACCCCATAGATATGTTTATATAGCATGTTAAAATTGAGACTTTTTAGCATGTTAAAACACTGAAAATTCCAAAAACTTTTAGCCTTTTATGTTCAAACCGGAGTCAGACAATGATGGAGAGACCCAAGAATAAGTGACAACATGTAGATGCAACAGGACATTTCTGAATGGTTAGTTGATGAATTTATGTTGCTTATGTGTAGTATATCTTCTAGTCATTGATAATCTATAAATCGAGTTCCCAGGGGCGGGGTTTATGTAAATTCTAGGGTTGGTCATGTCACTAACCCGGGAGGAATGTCGTGTAGTCCCTACCAGCCGTTTGTTGTATAGTCCTTAAAAAGCAATTTCTTTAAAAGAAAATATCTCCCTTTGCTTTGAACTTTGAGCATTGTAACTTTGCATATGTTGTTTATACTCAAACAGCAACATTACACACTAACTAAAGTTAGAAAAGTGAAATCATAATAAACCACCCCTTTAAAGGAATAGTTCGCCCAAAAATTAAACTTTGTCATCATTTACTCACTTCCAAGTTGTTTCAAACCTTTATGAATTTCTTTCTTCTACTGAACACAAAATATTTTTTTTGATGAATGGCGATAACCAAACAGTTGATGGACCCCATTGACGTCCATTGTATTTTCCCCCCATATGGAAGTCATTGGGGTCCATCAACTGTTTGATTATATTCTTCAAAATATATTCTTTTGTGTTCAGTAGAAGAAAGAAACTCATACAGGTTTGAGGGTGAGTAAATGATTACTTTAAATGATTTTTTCATTTTTGGGTGAACTATTCCTTAAGGGGTCATTTGAAATTTCAAAAGGGCCAAACATTTGTCACTTTACCTTAACTAATGTAATTGCTAAAAAAAATCAAAAAAATCTTTGCATTTAAAGGACAGAGCGATTGACTTTGACACATACGCCTAAAAACATATACCATATCAAACCAAACCAAACCTTCAAAGATATCAAAGGTTCCAGATAAAAAAACATAATATTGCTATAGAAAATAGAATAAAATAAAGAATCAACAATATTACAATAGACAAACAAAATTACAGAAAAGAAATAATGCATTTTATGCATATTAGTGTAGAACATTTTTCAGATTGCTATAGAAAATAGAATAAAATAAAGAATCAATAATATTACAATAAAAAAACAAAATTACAGAAAAGAAATAATGCATTTTATTATTAAACTGGAAACAAAAGATTATCTTCAGCAATATGGTGTCAATAAAGGTCTCAAGATAAAAAAAAAAAAAAAAAAATTTTAAAACTTTTTTTAACCCTATATGAAGCCTAAATGATATTTGATACATTACATTTCTAAAGCTTCTAAATGATCAATTTGATCAAAAATCTACTGAAATACCTTTTGTACACAATCTTCGTCATGCCTTGCCATCTCAATAATACTTGATTATTATTTTTTTCAAATATGAAACAACAGGCTTTTGATAAGTTTATTTTTATCTCTCAATCATGATTGTATTGCATTTAAATAACACCTTTAAGGTGATGATACACAGGGGAACTTTTTGGGCAATGTTGCCATCAACGGGCAACCAGATGAGACACAGGGCCCACGACCGATCTAAAGTATTCAGATAGAAATGTATTGCCCATTTTCAATGGGAAAGTACCCAAGCAACAATCGCTTGGCAAGATTGCCCAGCAACATTGCTCAAAAAGATGCCCTGTGTATAATCACCTTAAGACATTATTGGTGTACAGTACAGTGTTATTTTCATGCATTGATTTTAAGTCAAGCTCATCATTGATTTACATGTCATCTTACATTTTGGCCATAAATAGCAACATTTGCACCAAACCAAAATGTTTTTTCCTTCTTCAGTCTAAGATCCATATTCTCACTATATGAGCCTTAAAAGCCTGATATGATACAAACCATAAAATACATATGAAAACTTTTTTTAAATTTACTTCTCAATATTTTGTCTAAAGGTTCAATAAACTCTTTAAAAAAATTAATAGGCTACAATATAACATATTTCACAGAAGAAAGAAAATCAGGTTTATCTGAGTGTGAGTAGGATGATAGATTTGTCCATTTAGTAGGAACTGTCCCTTTAAGAGGGATCAAACCCCACCAACTGGTGATTATCTGTTCTCTCTATCTACAAACTGACTGGGAGGTGATAAAGTGTAGAAATTTACATGGTTTGAGGCAGGATGACTATTAGAGATGCAAACAAAGATAATATTATACATGTAAAGGCCATATCATGCCATATACAAGAACCAGATTTTTTTGAATGAACAGTATAGATATTTTGTCCAAATTACAAAATAAAGAAATCAAAAATATTTGTTAAAAAATATAAATATTTAAAATATTTCCAAATAGCCCTGTATAGGCTACATACATAGGCTATTAAATATTTGATAGTTCTGAAAATGTACACTACAGTAAATATTGACAATTGAATGTCATATTTTGTTTTATATACTTATAAACATATATATATATATATATATATATTTATTTTTGTATTTTATTTTTATAAAATGACCTTCGTAGCATGGCGTTGGCATTTCAGAGGCGAGTGTTGTGAGCGCGCAGCGTAGGCGTTACGTCACTGAAGTCCTCCAGCTCTGGGAAGATGCTGGTGTATGTCTGCAAATAATAAAATCATAAAGCAATACAAAGAAAAATAGGCCGCTTCCTCTCTATCACACATCTCTTGGACAGACGGTCGTTCCATATCGGATGAAATAGACCAGCCATTCGAGGTAAATAGATTTTTGGAGAGAGAAAAAAACCTATTGTGGTTTATTATAAAATAGTGAATGCTCGTATATGGTCTCGGTTATTTAATATATACATATATTGATATTTAAATAGCGCCTCTCATTTACTGTCGCATTTGCTGGACAGCTATTACTAACAAAAGAGGAGCCAAATGTGTTAAGCCATGCAATGGTGGAGAAGAAGGACATTGAGGGAGGATGCCCAGGATTGTGGCTGAGCGATTGGAAGACTGGATTTTACGGAACATTAGGTTTAGTATATCCGTAATCTAAATTGTATTTGAATTATAGTGTGTAATTTTGCGCATTTGCAAGTCTCATTGACGTGATGTGTGGAAATGCCGACGCTTCTGGTTGGTTTGTCAACGCTGAGAAGCCTTCACCTAAATATAACAACATTATTGAATCGACAGCGATGGACATTGAATATGTGTTTAGAGTATAAATCATTAGCTGAGTATCCCATAATATTGTTGTTATAGCTGTCGACATTAAATGTTTGATAACCTTGGAGTGTGAGCCTACATTAAAACCCCACCTTTCCTTCGATTCACTCATTCGGTGTGTAAATGGGAGATGCATTATTACATAGCTAGCTAGTGAATTATTTTTGTATATGAGAGTAATTGCCCATAGCACGATTCAGATTTCTATTAAGATATAGTATAATAATAATGATGAACAATAGTAATGTTAACGTAGAAGTGGTGTGGGGGATAGCTTATGTTGTTTGTTGAAACCACTGTAAAAAATGTAGCTTTATTTCCTGCCTGGAATTGATTTTTTGTACATTTTATTGGGCATTTTTAAACAGGCTGTACATTTAGAATATATTGAGATATAAGTATCAATATGAACAATTATAGCTATAATTATATCTATATAAGTACATACTAAAGCAAATCAGTAGCTGTAAATAATGCACAAGATATCATAACACAATAAACACTAACACTATTAGATTATAGCTCTCAGTGATTTTAGTGTTTTTAATCAAAAACCACTGCAAAACTAGCCTCTCAGACAGAGAATACAGATATATGCCAGCTACAGGTCACTTTGGGTTTGGGTTTTGTAGGCATTACACCCATCAGGCCTAGAATACAATTTATGGAAATACTCAGTATCAATATCAAACTCTAGATACAATTGCAATTGAAAATATTTTAGGATTACCCCCACATTTGAAATGTCTGGGTCATTTTTGCCCCAATTTGATCTCTGTTTTGTGGTACAGATAACATAATTATTTAATATAATTTTGTGTGTTTTGAGGGGTTTGCCTTTTATTTCATTTTACAGGCCACCATACTTGCTCCATTTGAAAGATACTGAAGACCAGCATTTTTTCTTGACAGATCACATTCCTCATACATGAGATGAAGATGACCTGGCCTGCCTAGTAGCACATTACCTCAAAAAAAAAGATTTTTGGTGGGTGAATTTAACAAAATGTACGGAAGTTCACGCTCGGTGAGCAAAATGGACAGTAATCATGGCGGGGGTAGAAACAACCAGGGCAACTCGGGCCGCTCACCACGACTGCCTCGGTCACCTCGCATGGGCCACCGTCGCACCAACAGCATGGGGGGCAGCGGTGGAGGCCCGGGCGGCTCTGGAGGCAAGACGTTGTCCATGGAGAACATTCAATCTCTCAATGCCGCCTACGCCACGTCAGGGCCGATGTACATGAGCGACAACGAGGTCGCAATCGGCACCTCCCCTGACCTCCCTAAGAGCGGAGTAGCGACGGGACGCTTTGGAGGCAGCATTCCCTACGGGGTCCGGGGAACGGTTACAGGCAGCACACCTGACATGGCCATGGTGCCGGCAGTCTCGACCGACTCTATGGGCTTTGGAGGGGAGATCCATGCAGCTTCAACTGTTCCTCACTCCCTACGTCAGGCGAGGGACAACACCATCATGGAGCTCCAAGCCCAGCTCAAGGAGGTGCTGAGGGAGAACGAGCTCCTTCGGAAGGAGATCGAGGTGAAGGAGAGCAAGCTCAGCTCGTCCATGAGCTCCATCAAAAGCTTCTGGAGCCCGGAGCTGAAGAAGGAACGTGCGCTGCGCAAAGACGAGGCGTCCAAAATTGTAGTGTGGAAAGAGCAGTACCGCGCAGTGCAAGATGAGACACAGGTGGGTACATCTGGCAGGATATGCTTGTTTTTTTAAGTATAAGTGATCATTTATTTGCTGATCGGAGAGTTGTTTTCTGGATTGAAGCATCTGGTTAAAGGAATCTAGAGTTAAATTAGTATCCTAGATCAGTACTAAAAGGCACTGTATATCTATAAAAGTGTAGTTCTATTTAGAAACAGATTTACACTGATAGATTTTGGATAAGTGTGACCCATTTTGCATACTCTGCCATTTTATAAGTAGTGCAAGTACTGTGTTCACACTGAAAAATGCAGCGAGGCGTATTGTACTATGAGTACATGGATGATGTACTTCATCAACCTAAAAAATTGCTGAAATGGAAAAAATAAAGATAAAGCTGTATAGACATGTAAAAAAATAAAAACTAATAAAAAGGACAAAAGGGAAAAAATCAAAATGAATACAAAATATGAAAGTAAAAGCTAATTTAAAAAAATATTTATAAATACTACTGTACATATAGACACATTATATAAATAATACTAAAATAACTATAAACTAAAATAAATACAACCTTTGGGACACAACTTATTCAACATCTCAGCACACACATATATACTATCACTATACCTATACCATTTCTGTAGTATATAATATGCATACTGTGCATATAGTATGCATGTTTTAGTATGCACAGAATACCCTGTGACTCCCTATATTTGCCAAAAAATGCATTATACAGAGCACACTGTGCTAGTGTAATATCTGTAAATTCACGTTTTTTCATCTTTTTACTAATTATTCAAGACTATTCTTTTTTTGTTTACCAAAAAACATGCAAAATTTGGAGATTTTTATTTGAACAGAACATTACTACTAGCTTTATGTGACAACAGCGTAGCATGCTACTGTTTAAAATGTTCATCTTCATAATGCGTATTGTCATGGATGCTATCTTTAAAATAGCAAGCAGTATACAGTATATTATACTCCTCAGTATTCAGTAATCAGTGCAATAGTTTTCCTTTCCAAACACTGCCCTGAAATGCATGTGTCAGGTAGAACTGACCAGCTTAAACTAGTTAAGACCAGCTATTTATAGACACATTTTTATCGCATCAAAGTATTTTCATAGATTTATAGGAGTGACTGAGAATTGAGTGATTAAAGATCCAGCTCATCTTCAAACGAGAAGGGAAAGTCTACCTCCGCTGTGAGGTGACGCTAATGGCCAATCCTGAAATGGCCATCCTGGTCCTGCTGCGTGCGGCTCACTGCACACCCTGATTCCTGCAAGCCACAATATGCTCGATGAGCAATACATCTGAGCTAATTAAGAATGAAACTCTGTTTTCAGATATTCAGTGGTCCTTTTAAATGTACACTGAGATACTAAGATGGGTTTTGGTAGCAGTGACAGTGGCATAGTCCTCCATCTATGTTGCGTTTGAAACACTCCCCTTATTTGAATGATTAGCTTCAAACCATGATTCACTGCAGCATGGCTGTCATGACAGATTCCCAGACGATGGGGCGTACAGCACTAAGCTAATGACAGCTTGGTTATTCACTAGCATAATCAGCATTATCACGCTCCTCACACTATTCGCTTGAGATTGAAACTAACACACGAATCATCAGAGAGCTCTGAGTCTTAGTATGTGTTATTGGGTGATTCTTGGTCTTAATGAGATCGTACCATTAATTATGGCACAGTTGTGTACGTGTATGATTAAGAAAATTAATAATTACTGATGTTTAGTTGCCTTTTGGCTGCCATCAAGTTTTCAACAGTAGTTGCATCTACATGGATGAATTTGGAGTAAAGAAGAGTATAAGAGATGACAAAATTAGCACACACTCATTTCTCCTTGCCACCTTTACCACTAGTGTTGAGGACTAATGCATGATGGGTTGTAGATAAAAATCTTCTTAAACTCGTAGATCACCACAAAATGAAAATTGACACACTTGTTGTTCGAAACCGATGCGACTTGCTTTCTTCTGTGTAACACAAAAGGAAAGTTTGAAGAATTGTACTGGTTGCTCTTTAGACCCTACACCTGGTATTAAGATGCGTCTTGGTCGATCGGATCACAGGTAGTCGAAGGAGACACATTCTCGTTCACACCTGGTGATTTAATCCGTCTCTTTTGTCCACTTTCAACCACTTCTGTCCTGATTTCTTAAAGTTGAGGATATAGGTGGGTAAACTAAGTGAGTGTGTGTTAGAAATCAGGAATGGTGAGAGAACATTGTGATTAGTACGTTTTTCATTTTCAAACCAAACTTGGGTCTTCAGCCGACAAAGTGTAAATCCTGTCTGGTTAGCGCGCTGCCCATAATGTTTACACGTTAGCTCAGTAGGCGGAGAGTCTTTTGTGGCTGTTCAAATACATTCAACCACATTCGACCGACTACACTACGAAAGCAATCCGGTTGAATGCGTTTTCGACTACCTCTGGAAGTGGTCGAAAGTTGACAAGCTCAAAACGTTTTAGACTCTGTTTAGACCTTTACTTAGCGGCTCAAAACGTTTTAGACTGTTTAGACCTTTACTTAGCGGCTCAAAACGTTTTAGACTCTGTTTAGACCTTTACTTAGCGGCTCAAAACGTTTTAGACTCTGTTTAGACCTTTACTTAGCGGCTCAAAACGTTTTAGACTCTGTTTAGACCTTTACTTAGCGGCTCAAAACGTTTTAGACTCTGTTTAGACCTTTACTTAGCGGCTCAAAACGTTTTAGACTCTGTTTGACCTTTACTTAGCGGCTCAAAACGTTTTAGACTCTGTTTAGACCTTTACTTAGCGGCTCAAAACGTTTTAGACTCTGTTTAGACCTTTACTTAGCGGCTCAAAACGTTTTAGACTCTGTTTAGACCTTTACTTAGCGGCTCAAAACGTTTTAGACTCTGTTTGACCTTTACTTAGCGGCTCAAAACGTTTTAGACTCTGTTTGACCTTTACTTAGTTAGCGTCATCCACTTGTGATCCGATTGACCAAAACGCATCTTAATACCAGGTGTAAAAAGGGCCTTAGGTCAGTGAATTGAAACTACGGGTTTTAAGCTTCACAAATATTTCTATATTTCACATAAGTAGTTAACAATGACAGCACTGATATGAACATCTTTTATGATACCTTTGTGATGCTTTGAAGCCTGAAAACCCCAGTCTCTGTTAATTGTAATTGCGTGGAAAAGAGCTGGATGTTACTAAAACCTTCATAATCCACATGAGCACCAGAGCGCAACATGTCAGGAGAATATGCACTAAATATTGCTCCATCTGAGCAGTTTTTACCAATTCAAGTTGTAGACAGTAGTAGTTACAAATTAGATGTTTACATCCCAACTGTTCTCAGTAATTACTCATGTTACTGCTTGTATGAAAGATGATACTATAGATTGAACTGTATTCACTGATGAATAAAGAGATGGTTTCTGTGGGATGCTTTTATAAATAATAGGATAATAGCTGATAAACTATGATGTGAAACCGATAACCTTGATTTCTTGGCTGTTAACTCTCCTTTATATCAGTTCCCAAATCTACAAACAGCCAATGTCTCTAAACTATTTCTGTTTTTAAGTATTTTTGAATGAATTGTGAGTAAATGATTCTCGTGTCCATCACAGCACCTGCAGACAACCGTGCAGGCACTGCAGGCCGAGCTGCGTATCCAGCGCGACTTGAACCAGCTACTCCAGCCACCCGGGGAGCCGCTGGCCTGCGAGCCCAGCGAGGAGCAGGAGAGACAGGCTCGAGAGCTGTTCTTGCTCCGCCGTACCTTGGAGGAGATGGAGGTTCGTATGGAGACCCAGCGGCAGACGCTAGCTGCCCGTGATGACTCAGTCAAAAAGCTCCTGGAGATGTTGCACAGCAAGGGACCCTCGGCTAAAGCCAGTGAAGAGGACCATGAGCGCACACGACGCCTCGCAGATGCTGAGATGCACGCGCACCACCTGGAGAACCTTCTAGAACAGCGTGATAAAGAGCTAGTGGCTTTGAGAGAGGTGTGTAGTAACTCGAGTTTGAAAATACAAATGACAAAATATGAAAATAATATTAAAAAAACTGCACTTTACATGAATAGAAAATAAATATATATATATGTATATATATATATATATATATATATATATATATATATATATATATATATATATATATGCAATTGGAATATGTAACTGGAAAATAAAGTAATTGTTTAAAAACATTATATATATATATATATATATATATATATATATATATATCGGTATATATATAATTATTTGATTTATTTTTATTTTTATTTCATTTGACATTAAGATACACATTATTAAAACATATTTTTATTTTTATTTCCAAATAATAATGTTTAGCTCTTTACTCACAATCCTGTTACTAGATGATTTTCCCCATTACAAAAACATTTAATATTCCTTAAAATTAATATATTTTCTGTTTTCTAGAATTATACATGCACCTGCATTCGTCAAGCATCAAGTTATTAGAAGAAAAATTATCAAATTATTTGCTTTCATATTGCAACCAATACTAACTTTGGAGTAGTGTTATGTTTTTTTATTTTAGATAATAAGTTGATATAAGATTATACTTATATATGTTAATGTATATGTTTATTTTAACTAAATTAATACATTTTTAAACTGTATTTTGACATTATATAGTTTGGAATATTTAGTATGACATCCGGATGTTGCAACCATCATTTTCTGAAGGTTAAGCACCTCCTTTCACTGTACACGTGCTAAAAAAAATGAAACAAAAAGACAATTTTAGAACTTTCAGGCAATACAGGGAAATAAAGCAGAAAGACTATTCTCTCTTCATGCACCATTATACAACATTCAGTCAAATAATGATGGCAGCTATTCTCCCTTAAAGCACAAAAAAGTAGGATATTTAATAGAACTAGATAGCAGGAGACCCTATTTGTACTTATAATAGAGTACAGCTCCTGCAATGTGATGGGAAATTCAGCCAAAACTAAACAGTGCTGCTCTCCCTCAAGGTATGATGACATATCTGAGAGCTCTATTTCTGGCACTGGTGTGAAGGAAGTGCCAACCGTGTCTTTAATTGCAGGAGCTGCATCGCCGCCTCGAGGGGACGCCAGAGACTACGAAAACCAAAGCTCTTCAGACTGTAATTGAGATGAAGGTAGTACTTTAGCTCCTATTTTAATTAATGTGTTAATCTGTTTACGTATGATGACAGGAACCACATTTTTCTTTTGACTATCAGTGCATTAAAAGCCCATACAAATTGATGTAAAATATCAAACAACATTTTGTACTATACTATTATTAAGCTTAAAACCCTTGTGAAAAGGAAGTACTCTTTATCATACTTTTAAAAAGAGAAATAATATACTTTAAAATAATATATTTAAGTGTGAACTGAATTTAATCTTAAGTGGTCTTTTATTTAATTAATATTATATTATCTGCAAATACAGTTCTTAAAAAAACATACTTTTAGTGCACATTCAGTACAATAAGAGTACTTTTTCACAAGAGTAGTTCAGCAAAAAGGAAAATTCTGTCATTATTTACTCACCCTCAGACCTGTATGATTTCCTTTCGTCTGTATTTGATCTTAGGCAGGATGTACGTCTCATATAATGAAAGTAAACGGTGACCAAAAATGGTACAACAGAAAAGTAGCATTAAAGTAAACCATGCAACCTTTGTGGTATATTCCAAGTTGCACATTCAAATTTGGCACATTTGTGATTGGTTGACATTATTGACATCAAACCTATGACGCATGTTTTAGGAGTCTCAGATCAGTTCTCTAGAGCGGGGTCTCAGGGAGCTGGAGGACCAGGTCATGATGCTTCGATCCAGTAGCATGCTCAGCTGTGAAGAACGGCAGGAGGAGGCCAAGCAGATGGAGGTCTACCGCAACCACACCAAGTTCATGAAGAACAAGGTACTGCACGCTCTGCTTTAGAAGAGCACATCAGGATTAGTCCACATATGAATAACAAATGTTGAAAAATTATTTTATGTAGATGGACCAAGTTAAGCAAGACCTTTCCAGGAAGGACACCCAGCTCCTCGGCTTGCAGACCAAGCTGGAAACCCTGACTAACCAGTTCTCTGACAGCAAACAGCATATTGAAGTGCTCAAAGAGTCTCTGACTGCCAAAGAACAACGTGCTGCTATTCTCCAGACAGAGGTAGTAGAGCACACCAGTGGTTAGTCTTCACCCATCACACCGCCAGATTCTCTGACCGCTGCGCACAACTGTTTTGCAGGTGGATGCTCTGAGGTTGCGTCTGGAGGAGAAGGAGACCACGTTAAACAAAAAGAGTAAGCAAATCCAGGAAATGTCTGAAGAAAAGAGCACGCTCAACGGAGAAATCCATGATCTGAAGGACATGCTGGATGTCAAGGAGCGTAAAGTCAACGTCCTTCAGAAAAAAGTGAGGGCTAGATTCACCATTCACCAATGCAAAGAGTCTTGATTTATTTTACTTTTCATTACAGGAGACCGTTGATAACAATGAACGAAATGTTCTCTTATTGCATGTGTCAGAAACGGGTCACCAATCCACTACGCTTAAAAATAATAAAGTTACAAAAGTCGTACATGCCAAAGATAAAAATACAAAACTAATGAACAATTAAGACTAGGGATGCACGATATATCGGCCACCATATTCGGTACCGGGCGATATATGTTAATTTTTAATGTTATCAGCCTGATAAGAAAATGTAGATGATATATTAAAGCCGATAAATAATGGATTTTTTCCTTCAGCTGAGACACTTCAGATGTGCACTGTTCGACATGATGGTTTTGAATAGCTTGAAATATGATTGGAATCACTTTGAAAAGGAAAATACGGTAAGCAAGTCTGTCATATAGGCTTCATAAAATTATAATGAAAACATTATCATTGTGTACTTGGGACATGGTGGGACTTTTGTTTTTGTAATCAGGCTCTTAAAAATTATATAAAAATTTGGATTTAGATTGATCCGCCAATATATCGGTTATCGGCTTTTAGTATCACTAGAAAATCTGATTTAAAGTTGAAATAAAAATGAAAAAAAAAAAAAAAATGTGTCACCAATCCACAGTTGCAAAATCATACAGTACATGCCATACATAGAAAAATACATCTACGAGAACCTAATATACAATTATACCGTTAAACTGATAAAGATGACTTTCCAAAATACCATGATTTAACAATAATTTCCACCGAAATAGCACAGTTATTGCTACTGTTATTGCATTACAGTTATTGCTACTGTAAAACCATAGTAAATTTATATAGAGTTAATTACAACAATATCTGTATTCATAGTATTTTAGCATAAACAAAAAAATAGATTACCATTGTAGATGTTTGTATGAGCACATCATGCATTTTTTACATTAAAATACAAAATACAAAATGATCCAGGTCTAAAAACATGTATCATACATGTAAGTGAATTTTTTTTAATACTTTGACCATGAATTACTTAATGAAGTATTTTTTCCCAAATAGCTGTGGGGTAAAGTGTGTCAGATGCTTTTGGGGTAAGCTGTGCCAGTGGCTCAACTAATAGCCTTTCCTTCAAAAGCAGGAAATGCTATTAAAAAATACTCTTGGAAAATTTTGAAAATTCACTACAGTAAAAATGTGGATGTATATAAAACTCCTGTGTTTCAGATTGAAAACCTGCAGGAGCAGCTGAGGGATAAAGAGAAGCAGATGAGCAGCCTTAGAGAGAGGGTGAAGTCTCTACAGACAGACACGTCTAACACAGACACAGCCCTCACTACACTGGAGGACTCACTGGCTGAGAAGGTGAGGATCACCTCTAGAGGACGCTATAACACTCCACCAGACTACAGGACAAATCGTTGGTGCACGTCCAAATGGCATCGGCACGGCCGTAATCAGGAGTCGGAACATCTGTGCTTAGTTATAAACATTTCATGTTCGTTGTATATGCTGTCTTCTTGGCACTGTGTTAATGTGTCCACTTCTGAACAGGAACGTATTATTGAGCGTCTGAAGGAGCAACGTGACCGTGAGGAGCGCGAGAAAGCAGAGGAGCTGGACAGCAGTAAAAAAGAGCTGAGGGAGTTAAAGGAGAAAGTCAGCATTCTGCAGGGAGATCTGTCAGACCGAGAGGTTAGAGATCCTGAAAGAGGACAAAATGCCATTAAAAGCACATTACATGATTATGACTTTTTTTTTTGCTGTAGAATAACATGCACCTTTGAATTGGGCACAAAACACCACACAAAACAATGTAATTTATCTTTTGTCCTTTAGAAATATTTTAGGTTAAATTTACTTGAGATCAAAATTGCTTAAGATGCTAAAACTTTTTTCAAGATATATTCTATGAAAACGGGTTTATTTTTCTTACCCCACTGGCAAATAGATTATAAATAAATGTTATGCTTAATATTATTGGCCAATGAGGTTGAGAAAAAGAGACTCAATTCAAGATCTATTCTCTGAAAGCAAGTTTTAATATCATGCAATTTTGCTCTCAAGTAAATCTTAAAATATTTAATATTAAAAAAATAATAATATTTAATAAAACTCAGATATTTTCTGAAACAAGTTTTGTCACAATTGTGTATACATAATTAGTATACATGTATACTAAAAGTGTCAGTTGTACACCTTGTATACCTCAATGCTAAGTTTGGTTTCAGACTTCTCTGCTGGATCTCAAAGAGCATGCATCGTCACTGGCCTCATCTGGCCTGAAGAAAGACTCCAAACTGAAAAGCCTGGAGATCGCCCTCGAGCAGAGGAGGGAGGAATGCACTAAGCTCGAGAACCAACTGAAGAAGGTGAGCGAGAGCGACATAATTTATAAAAGATTGTTAAAAGATAATAATATTATGTTAGTAAAAAAATAAAATAAATAGTAAACCAAAGTTCTTTAAATGGGATACTTTTTACAAATGCGATTTCCCGGCATGGATAAGTCTTAAAAAGATCATGGAAATTAGTCAAATAAAATAAAATAGTTTGGTAAAATTTTTTGCTCTTCTGTAAAATATTTATTTGGCCAGATATTGTAGAGAAAAATTGTAGAGTAAAAATATACTGAAAACGTTTAAACGGATATAATCATTTAAAGGGCTTCAACCCCAAAATGAAAATTCTCACCCTTGTTTAGTTGAAAACCAAACAGCTTCAGTTCCCATTGACTTCTATTGTATGGACAAAACAAACAAACAATGCAAGTCAATGGGAACCGAAACTGTTTGGTTTTCAACTTCAAAATATCTTATTTTGTGTTCTGCAGCAGAAATGAAGGCATAAAGGTTTGGAATGACATGAGGGTGAGTAAATAATGACAGGATTTTCATTTTCGGGTGAACTATCCCTTTAAATATGTTTATCAAAAGATTGGTACATTATATACTTAAATGAAATGTCACCAAGCAATCCACAATTTATTAAAAACTGGAAAGGTCACGGAAATACTTTGGTAAAAATTATAGGAACACAGTGCATAGTACAAGTATGAGAATTGAAACGAAGCCATTGTAACTACAAAGGACAAACAAATGGGAGAGTAAGCATGGACTTATATATTTGAGTTTGTGTAAGTTGTGGGTGTGTTTATATCACATTCATCTATTAGGTCCAGAGTGCCGCAGCCAATGCACAGGCCAACACAGAGATATCTGAGCGGATTTCTTCACTCGAGACTGATGTGGCCAGACACAGAGAGGACTCCGCCAAAGCCCAGGCTGAAGTCGATCGTCTATTAGACATCCTGCGTCAGATGGAGAACGAGAAGAACGACAAGGACAGGAAAATCAGTGAGCTGGAGAGGTCAGTCTATTTCCCTGCTCACCATGGCTTGCTCTCACTTCTTTTTTAAATGTGATTATCTTTTTTCATTGGTGTAGCAGTCAAAACACGTTACGTCTTTGTCCCTTTTTGCTGCCGTGTTTAAGCATCACCGTCAAAACGTTTTCCGTGTCTGCGTTTGACGAGGCTGATGTTTTGACTAGGCTTCCTTCCCCTCTTTGAGTTGTGTGTTGAAGCACTGATCAACTTTTTTTTTTTCTCACGCTAAACGACCTTTGAACTTCTGCTTTTTGTCTCCCTCTTTTTCACTTTTTCACCTGGAAATGCGTACCTAGTGTGGCTTCCAGGTTAGTAGATACATGTGTACTTCCACACACATAAATGGACCAAGTTAAAGACCCCATGAAATAGAATTTTGTAGTTTTTAGTCAACTGCTAGTGAACCCTTAAAATTTGAAATGACAAAAAAAGCTTTTAGACATACGAATTTAAAATTTACCGATCGTTTTTTCTTGGGATGCACCAATATTAAGATTTTGGCCGATCATTATTTTCATGTTATGACTGATAACCGATAAATTAAAGTTCTATTTTGTCTAAATACATTTAAATACATTATAACTTTTACATTTAACAGTGTTATTAAATTAATAATTTAAAGTTTTAGAGATTAAAGATTAACTTAATCTAAATATAAAAATAAGAAAATGAGCATGAAAAAACAGTAACATCTGATCATTAAATTTGATTTTTAAAAACGTCTGATAACCTGTAATATTTTACAAATATATTGTGTATCCCTAATTTCCAGTCACATGATCTCTAAAATGAACTAGAAAGTAGCAAATCATAGTTCATAGATGACATAAATAGAGCCTTTTGCCTATTTTCAAATAAAATGATGAGTCCTTCAATATGTCCCACTGAAAGTTGCGCTTCATAAAGTGATTTCATGGGGTTTTAAGTGCAAAAAAAGAAAGGGAATGTATTTTGCTCCTCCATATAATCACTGTTTTAGCTTTATGAATAGTGCAAGGAAGTTATTATACATGTGATCAGGCTTGGTGATATTTACTGATCGATAATAAACCAGCTTTTTTAGAGCTTTAGATAGTGTTATAATCCCCTCTGCCCCAAAACTCTTAATTTTACTATGAAACCCCAGAGAGTTCCTCTCACAACCACTTAATGTTTATGTTTCAGGCAAATGAAAGAGCAGAGTAAGAAGTCCTCTGTCAAACACAAGGAGCCACCAGGGAAGGGCAGAAATGTCAACGATGGCCCACAGCAGGTGAGACGTACAGAGGGATAGTTATGACAGCTTTGTCATAATCTCCTTTGTTTTGACAGATCCCTGTATATTTCCAACACTGTCAAACTCTGCTGGTGTGCTTATGATGAGCTGAGCCTTGTCTACCCCAGGAGTCCCTGCGGCAGAAGGCAGAGCGCATCGAGGAGCTGGAGGAGGCTCTCAGAGAGAGCGTTCAAATCACTGCCGAGAGGGAGATGGTTCTGGCACAGGAGGAGGCCGCACGAACCCACCAGGAGAAACAGGTCAACACTACAATGCTTACTAGCAAAATTACAAATGCTCACAATTGAATAGTAAATGTGTTACGTGAATAACTAGTCGACTATTTCTTTAAAAACTATTTTTAGCTGACTTAAAAATGCTCTTGACACAAGATGCTCAAAATAACTGAGTCGTGACGCAGTTATCAGAGACGTCTATCTGCATGTGTATGTGGAGATGGTGCTTTTAAGGGGATGAATTTAAAGACAACTTCTCTGGGGGGGGTTCTCCAATGAGGAAGCCAGCTTTTATTAAAGTGTGATTTCAAAACCTAGAAAAGTCATGTTTATTAATAAATACTTAAAACTTTTTGGGCATTTTTATAATGAATGCAAATTTTTCAAGTTAAGCCAAGCTCTAAAATGTTTGATCAGGATAAGAAAACCAAGAGTGGGATTTACATTACTACATTATGTATTCCCTTATTGGAGAAATCAGCTCATACCAGGTTAAGTTGGTCAAGCTATTTTTTGGAACATGGTAGCCAGTTTCTTGCTGGTCTAATGTAGTCTAACAGCACTAACAAGCGTGACCAAGATGTTCAACCAGTTCAAACTCTGTCCCACTAGCTTATGGACCATCTAGAAAACATTTAATACCACCAAAAGCCAGATTTACCAGGATTTTCGAGTAGAGATTAGCTGTTTTCAAATCAAAACATTTAGGATCAGTTTCAGGATCAGTCAATGTTTTATGTTTTTTGCATTTGCTGATGATATGTTAGTTAAGGTGATGTCACATTAACGAAAAAAATTGCAAAGAAGTCCCTTTCAAACCAAGCAACGTTTTGTTGGTCAAAATGGCGAATTCGCGTGATCTCGGATAACAGATTACTCTAAATTGTAATGTAGAAACATGCATTTTCTGTAAAGCTGCTTTGAAACGATATGTATTTGAAAAGCGCTATAAAAATAACAGTGAATTGAATTGAAATATGAATCGCCCTCAAGCAACATTTCTAACTGCATGGATTCCTATTGAAATCACTGGATTTTGCCCGGAAAAATTTCCCAAACATCGGTTACAGCGGGGACTGCATCTTTAGTCAGTCTGTGAAGTACAGAATAAACAATAATGAAAGAGTTACCTTTTGTTGATTTCTTAAAAAGATGGAAGAGTTACTTGGAGCGATGGAGAAGGTGAAGCTGGAGCTGGAGTCCATGAAGGCCAAGATGTCGTCCACCCAACAGTCTCTGGCTGAGAAAGAAGCTCATCTGACCACACTGAGGGCAGAGAGGAGGCGACATCTGGAGGAAGTGCTCGAGATGAAGTACGTTACCAACTTTCTTTTTACATCTTGCCATAACGGTGCTTGCAAAAGTCTGAAAACTTCAGTAAAGACTGAAAGAACGAAGAGGGTTTGTGAACATTTTGTGAAATTACAACACTCATTTTGCATGGGGAACCCCCAGGCCATATTTATTTACGTAGGTTACACGTCCAAAACAAACTGTTCCTCAATGACTTTATCATGTTTTATACATCAGTACATCAAGACAGTGACTAAACGTCCAACTTCGCATTGGCCTTCACAGCGGCAAGAAAAACTAAATTATTATTCAGATTTCTAATAAATTATATACAGAAAGCGGGCAACACAACAATGTTAGAACACTTTCATCTTATTATTATGAACGAAGCTGTCACTGCTAGTTAACATAGTTTAATGTATCTGAGCACAGTGTGAGCTCACTGACTGTCCGACAGTTCTTCCGTTGTAATCCATAAAGCTGTCTGAAATGCAGTATAAATCTCTTATTTACACCATATCTAGTTTAGTTGCATCACTCGCTTAAAGTCTACGCACTCCTAAAAGTAAAGGTTCCAAAAGTGATGAAACATTTTGGGTTCCCCAAAGAACCTTTCAGTGAATTTTCTATCTTCCACTAAAAGAACCTTTTGTGCAATGGAAAGGTTCCATGGATGTTAAAGGTTCTTCATGGGACCATCAATGATAATAAAGAACCTGTATTAGATGTTAAACCATCTATGTGTTGTATTGATTTGATACAGTGGGATTTGAGCTATTGGTTATCAAAATGATAACTTGGTTGCAATCATAATCTTCATTATTTATTCACTAATTGAAACTTTAAACTTAATCTACTCATGCATCCGAGTCCCTCTTAGTCATGCATCAACGTCCAATATAATATGCAGGAACAGCAACAAACAGCAGATTGTACATTTTTAAAGAATATTGTATCTCCCTCTGCCATTCATGCAGGAGACACATTTGTGTTATGCAATGAACTTGATCTAGAAGATGATCTAAATTACTTTTCCAGATCAGATATTTCAATCATTAAATAACCATCTTTTTCATCAGATCTCATCCTGAGGTCACTTTGGCAAGCTGTAGTGTTAATAATATAAATAAATGAATACAGAGTAAACAGAGATAAACATCATGACAGAAAAACAGGCTGTAAAAATTTGAGTGAGTATATGTTTTTCATACCATCATAAATGCAGAGGATGATTCATTCTGCACGTGGCTTGTTCTGTTTGCTATTTCTGTCTTCATACTTCAGCCGTGCTCCTGGGAATCAGTAGAAAAACTGCGAATAAACAAGCTATTTCTGTCTTTCTGAGACAATTACGCAGTCATTTTGACAAAATCCATTTTCCAAGGAGATGTTTTATACTTGTGAAAGCAAACCTCCTTTAACCTGCTCTGTTGAGTTTAGCAAGACACCTGGTCATTGTCAATGTGGTCAGTTGCTTTCAAGAGCAAGTACTTCCGTTAAGTGCTGTTTGACATTAGGCTTCGACTTCTAATCATTTCAACCAGGTATAATATAGATATAGAATATGTTTTTAATTTAGTTCATGAAAAAATATTTGTATAACTTGAAACAATTGTAATTCACAGACAGGAGGCTCTGCTGGCAGCCATAAGCGAGAAAGATGCTAACATAGCTTTGCTTGAGCTGTCTTCATCCAAAAAAAAGAAGACACAAGAGGAAGTGGCTCAGCTGCGGAGGGAGAAAGATCGTTTGGTGCAGCAACTCAAACAGCAGGTACGGACTGCGTCACAAGGCTCAAAGCGTATCTGCTTGTCCTCAAGGTCAAGTTGTTTGTTTGCTCAACTTAAAAGGCCTAGACAAAATACATCTTTGTTTTGACTGGTGGGTTTCTGAATGCAAACAAGGTCTATTGATGTGCTTGTTTTAATTGATCTATTCTTGACCCCTAATCAACCCCCCTAACCTTTCGCTTTCATCCGTTTCTACCCCCCTTTCTTTCCTTACATCTGTGCCTCCTCTTTTCTCCTAGACACAGAATCGTATGAAGCTCATGGCGAATAATTACGACGATGGCTACTTGAAAACGCCACCTGACCAGACCAACCACAAGCCTCCAAAATCACCCGATCAGGTCACAATCCGGTCCTCTACAAACATCAGAAAAGTGTTAAAGGGACAGTTCACCCCGAAATGAAAATCCTGTCATCATTTACTCACCTTCATGACATTCCAAACCCATATAACAACATGAGAAAATGATGACAAAATATTCATTTTTGGGTGAACTGTTCCTTTAAAATTGTGTACTCCTGTCATCTGCTTTTTTTTTTCCTCAGTGGAAATTCAGTATGGCTGAATATGAAATAATTGTACCTTTGCTGTATTTTGCTTATCTCATATTCATAGGAGCTTAATCTCAACAGCAAGCCAAAGAAAGAAAAATTGGAGGTGTGGGCAGTTTCATAAATGTTAATAAAATATTAATATTAGAAACTGAGTTGGAAACGGACGCTCCATTGTCCATTTCCATTGCAGTCGCGTTATCGTAATTGAAATGGAGCTGCCCTCATCTCCAACGCAGACGCCATCATTTCCTTTTTACTGCCTTCATATTGATCATAACTTCTCAACCCTATGGATTTTATTCTTATTCATGACTGTAGAAATCGCCCCTAAGCGCAGATCCAGGATCAGTTTCCCTTAAACCTCACAATACAATAATAACATCAAATACGCTGAAAGCTGATCCTGCGTCTGCGCTTACGGGTCACTTCTACTTGGAAATATTCGCATACTAACCTGATCTTTTTTCCCATGCTGCACTTGGCTAAAACCCTGCCATCTCTTAACCAATAGGATGATGAGGAGGGCATTTGGGCATAGCCTCACTGGCAGCCATTTTGTTTTAGAAGGGTGAGCATTTCTTTGATGGACATGTAAAAGCCAATCTCAGCTGCCCTGTTCCTCCCCATGTGACATCAAACACTGCCTGTCTCGCTGTGCCTGTTTGAGATTATTGACCATGTCATAGCAGTGCAAACATGCTTCTTAGGTTTCCAGTGGGAAGTTATTTTATTAGCAAATATTTGAGCCCTTTTTTAATATCTCAAAGGTTATTTGTTTTGATATAAAACCTACATATATAACTTATTTATAATTGCACTGCTATGAAATAGTCTACAAATCTCATTCCCTCTGGTTTTGTTTTTTCCCCTCCCTTTTTAAGCCTGTTATCTCTATGTATGGTTTTGTGGTTAAACATAATCCCAGATGGTGCATTAAGACTATGAAGTTTCCACACTCTCTTTGCCCTCACCAGATTCAATTCCTCCTCTTCCTCCTAAAAAAACCCCAAAAAACAAAACAAAATTGTTAAGTATGCTAAGCACTTTTTCTTTTAATTATCAGGGTTACAAAGTCAATAAAATTAAACAAATACAAAATACAATTTTTTTTATCTGTATATAAACTGGTAAGAAAATGTCCAGTGCAAAGTTAAATGTGCACAAGTGAGGTTTGAGACCACATTGAGAATCTATGATTCAAAATGTAATTTAAATCTGTAAACAAATTTGGTGTACTAAATATTCCTAAATTCTTAAATGTATTCAGCAAGGATGCATTAAATTGCTCAAAAATGACAGTAAAGACTTATAATGTTACAAAAGATTTTTATTTAAAATAAATACTGTTCTTTTTAACTTTATACTCATCAAAGAATCCTGAAAAAAACCTGTTTTTTTAACATTGATAATGAGAAGAAATGTTTCTTGAGCACCAATCAGCATATTAGAATGATTTCTGAAGGATCATGTGACACTGAAGACTGGAGTAATGATGCTGAAAATTCAGTTTTGCCATTACATAAATAGAAAACTTTTAATAAAATTTTTTTATAAAAATTGTAATATTTCACAATATTATAGTTTTTATTGTATTTTTTGATCAAATAAATGCAGCCTTTGAATGGTGTATTAGAGCTGTCTTTAAAAAAAATTTAATTGCACATTTTTCTGTAATTAATTGCACCTAACATTAAAATATAATTTCACTGTTAATCTCCAAATGAATGTAGAGACCACATAAAGATGGAACATTTAAATAACTTTTTAATGGCATCTTTTTATAAAGTACTATGAATGAACGCCAGTTTCACCAACTGTCTTATATAAAGTAATAAAAAAAATTAAAGACAAGTAAAAAAAAATTAAAGACAAGTAAACAGTCAGTAATAAGAACAAATATACAAATTACAAGCAATAGCACAAATTAATAGAATCAAACAAAGATGCAAATGAAATAAACAGTGCTTTAAGATTTTCAGGCAGGTCTAACAGTAATATTCAGAAATTAAATAAAGTAATCAAATGTAAAATATAACTGCATAGTCTTTACTGTATAAATTAAATATAGATGAATCCTTATTAAAGCTAGAAAAGTTATTCAGTCAAGAGCAATGATTTAATCTTTGTCTTTTGTTGTTTGATTAACATTAATGACAGACAGCAGCAGGTTTATTAGGCCGCTGTCACTTTAAGACCTGATGCACGGCGTGGATCTGACATATTCGATTTTCTCCAAACTCTTTACATTGTTTTGACACGTTTTAACTCATCTAAGACTTACAAGGATACTTGCCAAAAATGACATTTTGACATAATTTTGTATGTTTGTCCGTTCTAGCACGATAAGACACAAGAGAACTCAAATCTGTCTGTGAAGCGGATTTCTCTGCGCGTTTCGGGTGTCTGTATGTATGCATGTACAATTTTAGCTGATGCACATTAACCAACCATTAACTATTAACTGACAAGATTAGATTGCTGAATTATTATTCAATTAAATGAATGGGTGAGTGCCTTTGAACAGCACTGTGTTTGTGTGTGTTTTAATTATTGAAATCCCTGCAGGCATTATTAAATATCATATTAACTTGAGTTGGTCTAGCTAGAGGAGATTACTGCACATGCCAATTTGCTGTCAGTTTACAGAAACATCAACTAAATAAATGAGGACTGCTCATTACTCTTTATCAGCATTTAACTAAACCAATGTTCACTGGAAGTTAGGTATGACCCAGAATGAGGGAAGTTATCAACAAATAAACTAAAATCACATTGAGAGACAGCGTAATGACATACATGGTTCCTTTTTTAGAGCCCAGCCATAAAAGCAACAACAAAAAACAGTCACAACAGTATAATGTATAATTAAACTACATGAAATCTTAGGGTTAGGGGGTAATGTCTTGTCTCTTCATGTCTAAAAAGCATGTGTTTGCATGCCAAAATATGTCTTTTCAAAGCACCGTGCTGATAGAAATGATGTGCTTGCATTGAACAATATCAGCCCCAGCAAGCTAAAGTTTGCAGACGCATGAGAACAGACTCTCTGTTTCCCACAATCCTTAGTTCTGTGGTAGTGACAGTCTCTCTGCTCTGTAGATAAGATCTGGGCGGAGAGCTACAGTGCACAGGAGCTCTACACTGGCCACCTGATTATCCCGCACAACCACCCCAAAACCCTTTACTTATCTCATCACACCAGTTACCCAGGACCCACCGTCAGTGACGACACACACATTTTCACAGGTAACATTATATATAAAGTGATATAATGTATTTTTTTTTGGCATCCTGTAATTTATCATATATGCTGTCTAAAATTTGCAATGTAAATCTGAAAGTAATATAATTGAATTATGTCATGTCAGACCTACTTAAGCCGCTTTTCCGAACGATTCTAAGAACGGTAAGGAACAGTTCCAGTTTTATTTCCACTTGAGCCTGGGACAGCACTGCAAGATTACAAACCTTTCTCGGCCCGGAATTCTGAAGCAACATCGCCACTCAGGATTGGTCAATTGTCTGTTGCCTGACTGCCAGTTTCTCTGTAGCTGGCCAATCGCGATTTGATAAAAGCAAACAAGTTAATAATTAAATTATCCTCCATAACGCGGTCGCTATTTACATCTCATATCATCTGTACCAACTCAATGACTGACGCATTTGTTTTACATTCCAAAAAACTCCGGCTAGGCCGGATCGGCAAGAAATGGAACAATAAAACAATGAGAACGGTTTTGGCCCGACGTTGGAAAAGCGGCTTTAGACTACTTTTATAATTTTCTAGGTGTCCATAAGTCAATAAAAAAACTTTTGTTATGGCTTATAATTATGGACAGGCTATTTCTGCAATAACAAAAAAATATTCTTTGGTATAATCTTACTAAAGGTATATATTTTGTATACATTTGTCTTTTGCAAATATTATTTATTGAAATATTATTTGATACTACAAATATCAGGTAGATTATTTGCAATGAACACATTCAATATTCACACTAAAGTTACAATGTTTCAAATGAAAACTTTACTTGTATCAAAACGTGTTGCATATGATTTGATTCACAAGCTTGTAATTCTTTTTGGGTTTTAGTGGGAGCCTGGGATGGTGCGTCAGTGTGGAGCTGCAGTTGGGATCCTTGGGACCCTGCACTGGACCTCCAGAACCTAACTGGCCCTGATCAAACCCTCCAGCTTCCTCCACTGTCTCTCTGCCCTCACCTCTCACCTGAACTAAACCGGAGCCCTCAAAGAGTCTGTAACGGTCTGTAGTCTTAATACTGGTGCAGCATTGAAAATATGCAGTGTTAGTTGAGTCGTGAATGCAATTTTAATTTCGTTCTCTTGGTATGTCATCATGGTTGAGTAAAAAAAAACAAATTTAGAATGTTAACCTGATCAATGGGTGGTGCTATATAAACATAACTGAATGCCAAACTGTCGTTAAACAATTTAAAAAGTGTTATGCTAATTTAACTGCACTCAGTATTAAGACTGTCGGACCCTCGTCTATTCTGCGTTTAGGTACTGTAGCGTCTTGCACTGGTTATACTTCATTGGATGACCCTTCCCCTTTACCGAAATCCTATAGGACACCTTCAAGAGCATGATGTAAACATTTATAGATAGTGATGTCTATTTGTCACCACCAAAAATCAGGTTCTATATGTCCTTTAATTCCAATTAACAGCTGCTACATGGAATAGACATAAAATATATGTGAAAAGAGTTTGCAGTGCTCATGAAGGAGTCATCGAGGGGTTTGCGCAAGAAATTACAGTTCTCGCTTACAGAGACTATAGTTGTTTTCTAGCAGCTCTTAGACAGGACATTGTAGGCTCCCAAATATCTTCATATCATATCCTGATAACCAGTTTCTGAGAGCTCATTGCTGGTTTTATGTACTCTCATAAACATGGATATCATTGTGTGTCTCTCTCTCTCAAAGTGGATTTTTTATGTTGCATTTGTGGCCTATTGTCTTCGTGTATTAAAATTACAATAAAAGATGGATAGTCCACTAAAAAAAACAAAGACAAAACAATTAAAAAGAAAACAAGAGATGATCAAATCAGACAAAAGACACGGGTATGGGTGTTCTGAATTTGTATAAATGTGTATGTATATAAATGTGTATTATCAGTGTTTTCACTCTCTGAAGTTTTCTTTTACTGCTTGTGTTGGGATATACATTTCGCCATTAAGCAAAACATAAATACACATTCTGGACCAATGAAATTTCACAGTGGGCGTGGCTACAGCAACTTTTAGTTTTCTGACATTTTCAAAAATCTAGCTGTCCGGTTGACAAAAGCTTTAAATGCATTATTTTGAGATTTGATGGTATTTTTTGCAGCTGTTGTGCAGCAGTGGCCAATTTTTCCTTTCAAGCAAATGGAATAGAGAAGAAATTCAGAAATTAAAATGATTTGTATGTTCTACTCTGTACAATATACACTCTGTGTCCCACGGTGCAAAAGTCATTGATTGGCAGAGTAACTAAACATCTGTTTTAAATCACAGCTGCCTTAACATAGACTACATGTCATGTTCTATTCATTTGCAGCTCAAAAAATTGCCTACACTACATTTCCACCCACCCTGTCATCTTATCGCTACAGTAGTAGTTCACCCCAAAATTAAGATTCTGTAATTATTTAGGTTTAATCCTATGTGATCTCTCATACTGCAAGTCTGACACCATCACTGATCCCAATATTTGATTTGTCATATTTATTACATTACAAATAGTGTAATTTCAGACTTTTGTGCAGATTGGAGGGTTGAAACCCTGCACAAATTTACAATTAAACTGTTTAAATTGATTCCAAGATATTCATCACTGAGAAACAAAAGCCTGAAGTCAAGAAGTCGCCTGTCTCATTGCATGCAACAATGAGAGGAATCCTTACAAGCATTAGCCAACGGTTTAATTAAGTCAAGGCTTTTGTAATGCAAACAATCGGTCTTGACGTTATCTGTTGTTGATGCACTATAACCATTAACTCCAGATGTCCCTTCTCCAGTTTGAAAATCTGGTTAAAAGCGGCCAAATCACATCCAATCAGCATTGGGTTTCCCACAGAATTTGCCTCATTAGTGTTATATAACTGTTAGAAAAGTCTGAGTGCACTTGTCTGTTCTTTTATCGAAATTACTTAACCACTACTACATCATGCAAATGTGTCAGAGTAGCAGTCACTAATGTGGTACTCGAACCCAACCGGCAGGTCAAATGTTTGTGTGAGATGGTTTATGGAAAATCTCAGTGTTTACACAGACACCGATGGGCTGAACCATCCCAGAAGGATTTCAAACTGTGACATCATAAAGGGCACCAAACAATAACAGTCCTGCCTATAAATGGTAAGGCTTTTCTGATTAGTGGTAATAAAACTGGGAGTTGACTCGTAATACATCCACTGCTGAGCGCTATAAAAAATTATACTTTAAAGACGATCAATTCTGTTTAGACCCAGGTTGACATTGTAAACATTGGTGAGGGGATTTATTTTATTTTTTTAATGAAATTAGAGAGACTTGGACACGATGTTTTCCACTCTTGCCTAATGTCTGGACTACTATGGCTCCATTGTTTATACGAATGTTACAACATTTCTCGTAATGACATTTTCAGTTTGATGTGGGGTCGCCACATCTCTTTAACATCAACATTTGAGTTGCAGATGCTAACAAAGGACGTGTGTCAATACATGTGCTCTTTCGAATGGGATTTGGATTTCTGCAGTTTAACTAAATTACCAAAATGCTTTGAAGGCAACTTACTCTGCTCGGTGGCCATCTTGGTAACGCCCCTGGCAGCTGTTTGTTGTCATGCAATCTCCCTGAATGGGGAAAGACCAATATCTTAGAACATGTTTGTCAAAATTACATTCAAATAACATGGTAAATAGGAATAATGTCTGACAACAATATCATACATTACTGTATAAATACTGTTATCACAAACACTCCCGTCCGTTGTTTCAAAATTGTTAGAGGTTTTGTGGGAAAAATACAGGCTTGTTCAATTCATGGTTTAAATGAAAGTATTAAGGAGAAACACAAAAATACCTAGTAAAATAGTCCAATCTGAATAGACCTTTAGTCACTTTTTAGAACTCCAATGCAACTGTGAATCTTCTGTGGCTTGGGTGCATATGTCTGTGTGTGGGGCATGCTGCTTTATTGGCAGGATGTTGAGAAGCTGCTGCCATCATAATTCTCACACATATGCATATCTGCACATGCGAGAAAGGAAATGACACATGCAGAGAATGCATTATGTTCTAGATTAAAGACTGAGCGTAACTGTGATTTAGATTAAATGTCAGCATCCGCCAACACAAATGACTTTGACAAATCACATTCTGCTTTTCAGTACTGATGCGTTTAAAAAGCTTGAAATAATGTTAAAAAAGGAAAATAAAATGTGTGTGCTGTTTAACAGTACATACACAACATTGCTGGTATTTCAACACTGTCTCTTGAGAAGTCATAATTTTATGAAATTGCAAAAAAAAAAAAAAGCAAACCATAGAGCTCTATTTGCATGATCTAAGTTGTACGTACAATACTTGTATGAATTATTACCAGTTGTCAAGAAAGTAGTGCAAGAAATCAAAACAAATGTATCAATCAAATGTATCGAAATAAAATTAAGGGTAATCGTTTTATAGAGACCAGTGGAAACCAAATATGCATAAAACAGAGATTGTTTGCCGTTTAAATACCATGGAAATTAAAACATTGCAAAAATAATAATAATTAGGTACTTTTATCTTGTTTTTTCATTAAAATCTGAAAATCCTTAAAACAAGATCAGTTTAATTGAGAAGCAACTTTGCAAGATATTAATGCTGTATCTTTAATACAAGTGCATTTTGTCTTATGACATTAGCATATTTTATTGTTTTTAAACTTGTTTATACTTATACAGCCAGTGCAATAAGACAAAATACACTGTATTCAAGACACATTCTCTGAGTAAGCAAGTATTATGCAGTGTTAAATGTATCCTGATTTAAGTATTTTTAGACATTTTAACTGGGGAAACAAAAAAAAGACAAACTTTTTTGCATTCTTCATAGACACTATGTGTATATATATATATATATATCCTAAAATGCTGTATACACAATAATTTATCTAAAAAATATATATTTGTAAAATAAAAGTATTGTCAATAATCATTGGCAATACTGTATTGTCAGTATTGTCAATAATCATTCCCTTTTTTAATAAGCAAAAAAGACACAATATTGAGATAAATATTATTGATAAATTGAGTATATCCTGTGTTGACCATTCTGCAAAGAGGCTGTTACTTTGTGACTCTCTTTGTTGAGAGTCATCACAGAGCATCGCCCCTCTCTGAGCTCTCGTACTTCTATAAAGGGAGGTGGTCCTCCAATCCCTCCTGTTCCTTCTCTCTCACACTCCTCGACACTGATCAGACCTGCTCACCAACAGGACACAATGTGGCTCGCTGTATTTTACATATGGGGAAGCCTGTTAGCATTTTCTGTGTGTGACATCTGCCCAGAAACCTCAGAGGACGCTTCATGGGTAAAGCTGAAGCCCCTGGGGCACTGCGGGGACGAGGAGAACTTGTGCCCTTATCAACTCACCCTCCCTCCTCTCTCAATCCAGCTTCCAAGGTCTTTTATGGAGCTGGAAAAAATGGCCAAGGAGCTGCACAACCTAAAGGAAGTGGTGAACCAGCTGAGGAAGGACTGCCAAGAATGTAAGGACGGGCATAGTATTGAGAGGGGTGAATGGAAGGACCACAGCGAAGAAGAGGAAAAGAGACCTCAAAGTCTAAGGCATAACATTAGCATCAAGGAGACACAAAGTCAAAGTGGAGAACAAGTTGTCCGGATCTTCACTTCAACCCTACCGCAAAGAGACACATCAGAAGGTGAAGGAACTGTCAAGGGTGGCGTGAAGAGGCTTGATCATTCCATTCTGGAAAGTCAGAGATGGAACACTGATCAGAGGATTGATCTAAACCAAGGCACCACAGATCAGAGGTCTGAGATGAGCAGGGAAGTAAAAATATTTAACCCCTCGCTTGATGAGACAGCAGAGGATATATCTGAGGTCAAACTGGTGGCCTCACCTACACCTGAAGAGAGGGAACTCAAGCCTAAGCAAAGTGAATTAATAGAACCATCCCTTCCTAGAAAAAAGGACTTTGTGCAATTCGCAACCCATGGGAATCTACAGCCAAACAACCACAGGTATGGACATGTAAAGAACATCAGTAGCATCCTGGCGGCGAGAAGAAGAGTGCAGAATGTGCCTGATCAGAACAGGTTAAGCAGCATTTCAAGAGATGCTAACACTAAGACAATGGATTTAAGCACATCAGCTGGGATCAGAAGGGTTGTAAAGTTTCCTGGAGTAGGTGGACCATTGAGGCCAAAGGGATCCTACATAAACAGTAGAGTTGTCAAGGCTAACAATGAAGACAGACTGAAGAACCCTGCTCTGGTGAGGAAGACTAATCCACAAGCTGGGGACATGACGGTCAAGATTGAGCCAGAAGGGGCTGGATTTTCCCCAGTGAGAAGTGGCGTTATGAGGGTAAAGGAAACAAGTTCTCATGTAGCAAACACAAAACCTGGTGTAATCAGTGGACTGATCCCGTCAACAGATGACCAAAACAAACAAGACATCAGTAGGGTTTCTGGTCCCAGAACAGATGATGGACATGCCCTGAAAAATGCAAGCCAAGCCACTATACTCATTGAGGACAATTTGAGAAAGGTAAACAAGACTGAGATTGGAAGACTTCCAAAAAAACATAGTAAAGAAAACCAAGGAGATGTGAGTCTCATAGCCACAAATAAGTCAATCTCTAGCGTTATAAACCAAGCTGAACAGCCAAACATATTTAAAGAGGAAAAGCAGCATGCGGGACTGAGTGAAAGTCTGGTAGTTATTAGTAGAGAAGCAGAGACTAGCTCCAAAGTGGATAGAGAGGACTTGCCTTTCCGAGGCAGACAGGTGGAAAATGAAAAATATCTAAACCCAAACACAGAAACTAATAATGGACAAATTGATTCCACAATTTTGGATAAAGCTGATATCACTTTGAATGAAAGGACAGTTAATCCACTGTCAGCTGATCTTAAAGATAAGATATGGCCAGGAACGTTCATTGAAGGGGCAAAGGAGGACACCGGCATTAACTCACTGAGTGCAGGGACAGTGAAGGAGGACATCCCGAGGCACAGCAAAGCCATCTTGTTGGAAAAAGATCTAGTGAAGCCTAACCTTGTCCCAACTGTAAAGAGTAAATTGATAGATAGTACAGCGAATTTGACCAGTACAGTTCAATCACCTGTGGTAGGCCAGGGGACAAGGAGAATTTCAATAACTCCACCCAAAGCTAAAGTTGAAGAGGAACCGGCAAAGAATAGCGAGAACATCAGCAAGATACATGAAGTAAGTCCAGACAACATAAGATATGTGATGCCAAACCTACTAAGACACCCTGAGATGCATCCAACAACTGTGATTTCACCTAGAGGCCCCAAACTAAGACAACCTAATATTATAAACAAAATGTCAGGAAACAGGACTACTAGAGTACCTTCGAAGCTGTCCATTCCGGTCAGAAGCAGCAAAATAGCCAGGAAAAATGGCACTGGAATTATAAAACAAAGTTACATGAGGAAGAAGCCAATCTCTCAAACTGAGACAAATATAAACAGAGGTGGCTTCAATACAAACGTAAGCACAGTGACTCAATTCTTCAGTCCCACTGCTACAACATCTACTGTAGAACAAGAACAAAAAGAAGAAATCAAACACATCCCGCAGGTGACAAGGTCAAACGTATTGGATAATCATTGGTTAAAATACAACATTACAGATTCAAAATCACAACCAGAGATTCAAAATGCAGGTGATGTACAAGATTTGGATAAGGTTCAAGAAGATAAGTACCGAATTAGAGACAACGGTGAGACTGTGTTGATATCAAACATTGGGAACCATGCAGAGGATTCTAAAACTCGAAGTGGAGTATCAAATTCACCTATTGATGGGAAAGAAAGCAAGATATTTAGTTTGGGAACCGCTGATAGCAGCAGTCAACACCCATTTGAAGTGGAAAAGACCAGCAGCGGGAAGAAAAGGCCAACTGGATCCACCTTACAGAAAGAGAAACCAGGAACAACTCAATTCACAACCTCAACGCTCTCTTTTACGGACACAGACCATAAAGATGGTACAAAAAACATTCGTACAGTGACAAACATACATGATGAAATGGCTAAAAATGTCAGCCAGGACACACCCATAAGCTTTGAAAATATCGGAGCAACAAGAGAACTGGAACTTACTACATTTAATAAAGACAGAGTGGAAGAAAACACTGGGGAGATATTATCCAACCCAAATAGTGAGGACACGGACCAAGGTTATAGCGAAGGGAGGTACACAATTCCAGTTGTTTTGGAAACGCTTACAAATGTTGAAGAAATTAAAGGCTCAAAGCTTTTCTCACTCAGCCCTGAGGACACAGCTGAGGGATTTAAATCACATGCAGTCAGTGATGAGGTAACAGAGAGAGAGCAAGTAGAGAAAAAGATCAACAGCACCTGTCTCAGTGATTGTAACACTACGCCAACCCAAAAGTCCACAACCCAGACCAGGCCTCCATTGAACTCTGGAAGAGGTAAGGAATTTTCTAGCCCAACCCCGAACACCGGTTGTTCATTTTTAGGTTTTCTCCAAGTTGAAGGATTATTTACTCTTATTTCACACTGAAAAAGTATGGCAGTAGTGCACGTTTATTTGACATAAAGCTTACAGTATAGTGAAATAAGTCACTATGACTCTATGTATAGATTACACTCAAGGTTTTAGGAGAGTGCAAACAGGGACACATCTTCAAAAATGACTACAGGTAAAAGCAACCCAGATAATCATTTTATCCTCAGTATCCTCTAACACATGTTCTGTGACCCTGCACTTTATCTTGATCGTGTGATAGGATTCCAAAATTCTCCATAGCAGGGATAAGTGGATATGGATCCTCATCTGAGTAGCAGATGTTGTGGTTTTTGTGAAGAGGACCAGCTGTAGGCGTCTTCTTTTGTCTGATGTATCAGGATGTGGTGTTTTTGTTGAGCTTGAGGAAAGGCTCAAAGTCAAAAACTTTTCAGCAAAGCATAATTAATGCATTAAGACTAAGTTCAGTACCATCCCGTGCCTAAATATGCATGTCCAGTGATTGGAGGAAAAAAATTGGCCTCGTTGCTCAATGTACAGTAAGTAAACATCCAGGTGGTCCACATTTTCATTTTCATGCATTAGCATATCTCTTAAATGAAATATTAAGTATTGTCTACCGAGTGCAGTTTTTTTGTTGGGGACAGATAACAATTTCAGTGCATCTTGCCCTGTTTTCATTTAAAAATTAATATGATCCAGATTTTCAGCTGAATGTTTTTATTTCAACCCAATTGAATATATTTGTATTGTGCAGATTTCAAAGCAGTTTTACAACAACAACAAAAAATCCTTACAGGCTTCTATAGTTCTCTAGATGACAATTGGAAAGGAAATACTCCCTAAGATGTTTAACCAAATGTAAGCATGCAGATTTAGGTTGTTTACACATTGTAATAGCATTTATCATCAACAGAGGGTGAGGTAACCTAAAATAATTTTTATTGCCTACAGAAAAAGGACCCGCACAAGACTGCGCTGATTACATTACGAAATCACGAAGGAATAGTGTATACAGAGTTACGCCGCGGCCGAAAAACAGCACGTTTCCTGTTTTCTGTGACATGGAGACCTCTGGTGGGGGCTGGACATTGATTCAGCACCGTTTTGACGGCAGCACAAGCTTCAATCGCACCTGGGACGAGTACAAGAATGGATTTGGTAAACTGATAGGGGAGTTTTGGCTGGGCAATGACAAGATTCACTTGCTGACAAAGGCAAAAAACATGTCATTGCGAATAGAAATCGAAGACTTTGAGGGTGTCAGAGAATATGCCCATTATGACCACTTCCATGTAGCCAATGAAAGCCAACAATACCGCCTGTCCATCGGTGGCTATTTCGGTACAGCCGGTAATGCCATGCAGTTCAGTAATAAATTCAATCACGACCAGAAGCTTTTTACTACACCGGACAGAGACAATGACCAGTATCCCTCTGGAAACTGCGGGGCCTATTACAGCTCAGGCTGGTGGTTTGATGCATGCATGTCTGCAAACTTAAATGGGAAATATTATCAATCAAAGTACAAAGGGGTACGTAATGGGATATTTTGGGGTACGTGGCACAACATTACAATGGAATATTACCCAACCAATGAAAGACAAGCTTTTAAGACTGTTAGAATGATGATAAGACCTAAACATTATGCAAACTAATATTTACCTACCAATCCTAAAACCTACCAATTAAATTAAATGAAGCTATCTTTTGAATTTGTAGGATAAAAGAAAACAGAAAGTCCTTAAAGTAAAGTACACTCTTGTGTTACTGATCTATAATAGTAAATTGTTGGAATTTGAATAAACATTGACAAATGTTTCTGTATCTATGTTGTTTTTGAAAACTGTACACATATGCATTAGTATACACAACTGAGCCCTCTTGTGTTGCTTTATAAATACTGTATTGCATAAAACAATGCTATTTACAGATTCAGCTACTTTTTTTGTATTTTTTTTTTTACTTAGAAAACACCAAAATGTTTGTAAGTCTGGGCCAATCCATAACTATGTTTACATGGATATATGCACTATTTATTGTCAGTTTTTTAATAGCTGAATTAAAGCATCTGTAATTTTCTATTATTTTCATTGCACCAAGTGTTATTTTCAAACATTGTAATTGTAAACCCCCAAAAGTACCTTGTACAGACAATTCTTTCTAATAAGAGGAAATTTCAAAATCAGTAAAAAAGAAGGATCATAATTACTTAAAATGTACTGATGAATAAATAATGAAATATAACTATAAAGCAAGTTGTGTACTGAATTTTAACACCTCTGCATGATCTTGAATACATCTGTAAATATAACTATGCACTTATGGATGGAACATAGTTGTCGTAAAGAAAATAAATGTGTATCTTTTAATTACAAGGATGTTGTTATTTCTTTTTATTATTTACACACTCTGCACAAGAGAAAATAAAATTTCGTAAACATGTATTATGCAAGTTCTGCAACGCAAAACAAATAAGTGTATGATTAAGAAAGACAGACTTATAAATCATACACCATTAGAACATATGTCTTTTCCGTTAGCAAACCACATTGTGTTACAGTACTGGTTGAAAAAACAGTGTGTATGCAGCACGTTAACTGTTGTTTTTCAAATGTCCATTATGGTATGCTGCTAATGATCTCAGTGTTTCACTAAAATGCAATAAATATTCTAAGCAACATTCACAATCAGTCATTTCTGTCACCTGAGTGGAAACTCACCACTGAGCCAAAATTCGTTAACCTCCCTGCATCATTGTGAACACGAAACGTAGGCTATTCAGCTTCATCCTTGAGCCTGAAAGAAACAAGCAATTCCTGATAAAGAGCTTTAAATAGCTGTACATTCGTAGTGTCCGTTATATATTCCCTTACTTATGAATAACATCTACTTTCAAGATGATTTTACTCCTGAAGAATACAGTAAAGACTTCTCTGCTGGCTTTCAAAGAGTACCGTTCATATGTTCAGTCTCTTCTGAAGTGGAAAACGTTGTAGCCCAGCTCCACCATGGCCCCGATGAGCAGAGCCCACAGAGGGATGCAAACCGAGCTCACCAAGATGTTCATTAGCTGCTCTAATTTGGCACAGAGAGTCAGACAAAACGCCAGCTTAAGCAGCATGGCCACGAGGTACCACACGCGCTTCTTCAAGTTCTCCGTCCCGTTGCGAGGGTCGAACCCCGGCTTGCAGCGGCCTGCCATTTTGACAATGAGCATGAGGAGGAGAATAAGATCAAAGGTCCAGACAGGAAGGAAGATGAGGAACCAGCTCCAGTTGATCTTCTCGTCTAACTTGAGGACCAGCATGATGAGGAAGATGAGTGTGAAGATCCATGTCAGGAGGACTCTTTGAGCAAGGGACATGTTCATTTGAGACGCTGGCCTAAGGGCACAGCAACAGGCTGATCTGAAAGAGAAAAAAACAATTATCAGAAATATGAATTCAATTTACATGCCAAACATTCTGTTAATTTCATCTTGTGGAGTTGCACCTTTCGAGATCAAGCTGCTTTTAATTTAACAGTCAATTAATCATTTCACATTAATAACAATGTAAATCTATATTAAAAATAAAATAATGTATTAATACTATTAATGAATATTATTATTAGTCATTACAAATAATATGCACTTTCTAAATTAAATTTTCAATAGATGTTACGCTGATAATATAATATGTATTAACGTAAATTGCATTATATTTATTTATTAAATATGCATTTTCACTAACAGTCATATGAGATTATAATACGCATATTCACAAAACGGCTATGAGTAGGTTTAATATTAGTTTAACAATAAATCATTCATTATCACATCTTAAAATACTGCAATGGCCAAGATTTATTCAATTTTAAACTGTTTTAGTTACAGTTAGTGTCGCCAAGTTAATAGTTTTAACTACCCACCAAACTGTACTTGACACGTAAGGCACACAGATGTGCTGTCTCACTAATAAACGAACATTTGATTTATTTAATCTATATTTTATCTTAATTGTACCATCCTGAGACATTCTCAAAATAAATGAGGGGTTCATTACTAGCACAAAACTAGCATAGACAAACCGGACTGCCTCTTTTCATTGTATGAGGACAAACCCAAGAAAAGAACAAACGCATTGGAAAGAAACTTACCAATGATGAAGACAACCCGGCTGGCCTTTTGGTTAGAAAGATGATTAAAGCTAATATCCCTTTCCCACTGTCTGAACACTGCTACAGTACAGAACAGACGTTTTCAAAACAACTTCTCTTGAAGGACTAAGTTGAGTGTGCGCAGCGCCACCTACCGGCCTGGAGGACGCGCATCACACAGGCCAGGGAGTAGGGATAGTTGACCCAAAAAATGAACATTCAATCATAATTTACTCACCCTCATGTTGTTCCAACCCTGAACGAGACTCTTTCTTCTGTTGAACACAAAATAATATATTTAGAAGAATATGGGTAACCAAACAGTTGACAGCACCCATTGATTTCCATCTTAGCATAGGAGGAAGAAGAAAAAAAAAATACTATGGTCAATGGAGTCCATCAACTGTTTGGTTACCAACATTCCTCTAAATATCTTATTTTGTGTTCAACAGAAGAAAGAAACTCATACAGGTTTGGAACAACATGAGGGTGAGTATATTACGACACACTTTTCATTTTTGTGTGAACTATCTCTTTAAGCTGTCCAGCTGGCTTCTTGTTAGATGGTCTACCAGCTTTTTTCTTCTTTTTTAATCTAATTGTCCTTTTAAAGAAAACAGCACTGAGCAGGAGAATGGCAAAAAACAAACAAACAGAAAACAACACTTGAATGCTAAGAATGTTACTAAAAAATACCCCTGATGTCTCTATTCAGCCTCAAGATGGCACTGCTTCACTATTTTAAAGTTGTTAAACAGATTCTGCTGGTAGCAAACTGCTATAGCGAGGCTCTAAAGATGAATCTGCCATCGAAAGAATTTACATGAATCATTATCCCAATAAAATATAGGAATTGCATTTTGCTTTGAAGTCCCCATGAAATCAAAATCGACAATTCTTGTTTTTTTTTATGGAATATTGCAGTAGGTAACTTATAAATTTAGCCGTGCACATCATTTAAACATTTTTTTATGTACCTAATAATCTTTAATCAAAATAACTTCCCTTCTTCTCTTCTCTTCTCTGATGATGTGTTTACTGGCGTGGGGGCGGGATCAACCTGTCAGTCACATGAGATGTGCACCAATAGCAAACCACAACCATCCAATCAATTCCAGATGGACAAAATCAAGTCCCGCCCTACATTTTATTTTCTTCGAGAAGCCGTTTCACTAGGGGATAAAAGACTATCACAACTTCTGTTTCATGCCGACTTTAATTTCGACCTGTAAATGCAGCATTTCTCCTTGCTCTTGTCTTTAATTGCTGTGCCATGAAAGACAGAAGGTTCACACCCCCAGGAGGAAAGAAAACTTTTAAGATTTCTCTCGGGTTGATGCCACACCTGAGATAACCATCAAAAACCACTATTTTCCAATATATTATTACAATCACCTATTTTCAAAAATACCCTAGGGTCCAGACAAGAAGATGCAAAGTGTGCACCGATAGCATACAAAAATCCACATGCATTCTGAATCAGTTAATGAGCTTATTACCCTTTGCAAATGTCCTGTTGTGGCTGCCATTACTGAGGCCTTAAGGGGATGTCAGCACAAAAGCCAGGTTATAATACAGCGGCTTCTTTGCTCTGTTGCTTATCAGTGAAACCACACAACTGCAAGCTGCCTTGAGGCCCTGAGCTGAGGACGGGGTTTTAATTGGGTCAGTCTGAATCTGCAGCCTGTTGCCATATCATGAGTGAATAGAGAGCTGGAAAAAGCATCCCTCTGCCTCTTTATGAGGATGCAAAAGTTTCAGCCTACACACACACACGTCTGGAATATGAATTATTTTTAGCAGGTTACTTTTTATGGAAAGTAATGCGTTACATTAATTTTGCGTTACTTTTTCTCACCTGGGCTGAGCTTGTTTGTTTTTAAATAAATAAATAAAAGTTCTATTTTTTGTGTGTGCAAATGTTAAGGCTCTTTTACACCAAAAGTGAAATGAATAAGCCTCAGGTTGAAGGAAATACAAATTTACACCTAGTTTGATAAAGAGAGGTTAAATACATTAAGTATATTAGCATTATTTAAAGCTGCAGTCCGCAGTTTTCCTCTTTGTCGCCATCTCTGTTCGAAATCTGCAATTGCAGTTATTCGCGGAATTATCAACTTTACGTGGGTTTTGCCTCGACACTGCGCGGATGAATCCAATGTTTTGAGGAGAATGTGTGGCTGTCAGTCACCGCGCCGGTGTGGATCCTGGCATTCGCAATCACAGATTCTACTTTTTGGAAGTATGACCAACATAAGAATTTTCACCGGAAAATGTCACCTGAACAAGTAAGTAACAACCACTTTTAGATGCATAAGTAACATAGATATTATTTGTTGTAAATTTAAAAAGTATTGCATTACTCGTTAAAAAAGTAATCTGATAATGTAACTCACGTTACTTGTAATGCGTACCCCCAACACTAATAATTGATAATAACTGAGCAGCAACTCAGCATTTTAGAATGATTTCTGAAGGATCATGTGACACTAAAGACTGGAGTAATGATGCTGAAAATTCAGCATTGATGTCACAGGAATAAATTACAATTTAAAATATATTAAAATAGAAAACAGTTAAATTTGTTTTTACTGTATTTTTATTATTATGATTATTTCAAATAAATGATGCCTTGGTTATTAGCATAAGAGACTTTTTCAAAAACATTAAAAATCGTAATAATTTCAAACTTTTGACTTAGTTTATACAGCCTTTCCTGGTATTTCTAATAAGAACTGTAATCATTTTAAAATGGCACAACATCATATGGTGGCTCTGAGGGTCGAGAAAAGATTATCCTTATCTCTTTTTTTTGCATAATTTGTTTCTGCAGTCTGGTACATCTTTATGCATTGACTTTGAATATTAATATATTTCAAATTAAAGATAGAGTCCTTTATATTCCAGTGCCAAGCACAGCTGTGCAGTAAATATTAAAAAAATATTCCCTGAAATACTGCATCACAAATATATCTGAGCTTTGTGACCTTTTCATCTATTTTTGAGTGTATTTTAGCAACAAAGTAAACATTTAATGAAACCAGATTGGCATTCTAACCTGAACATGTGGCATGATAAAATTCCATGTCTATGAAAAGGAAATTTAAAGGGACAGTTCACCCCAACACCCCATGTTGGATATAATTTTCAAGCAATATGTGGGAGAATTCCAAATTCCGAGTTGTCTGGAAAACAGCATAAACCCATTTAAAACATAAAAAAACATGATGTGAACTAATTGTATCCACAGTCCAAAACAGCTTCATGTGAAACGTACACAAGTGAAAGCTCACATCTCTTTGACTCTGTATTAGGTAAATTCAATTTGGGGCTTCAATTTCCTCTTGTGGGTATGTAATGTGGTTGTCATGTTCAATGAGAAATCGCTTCCTCTCTGAAGAGCTTTGTGGGCACTGAAATAGGTTGCTATGACATGCTCGTTCACCGTGTCCTTCTAGAGAAGATTAAAAGCTTGATATTGAAATCATGCTTCGTCACCAATGCAAGACATCTTATTTACTCCGAATGGGCAAGGAACGCAGAATGTCAGACGTGAAAAACACGTTTCTGCCGTGTACACGCACACACACCGTTCAAATCAAGGATCCTCAAGCCCCGCTTGGCTGCGGCTCCATTATCTTCGGTTCCGGCAGTATCCTAAGATTTGTGTCTATTCCCCAGCGTACTTTAGCTCTAGGGCTGTCTGTGTTGATTTATGTTTGACAGCCATTGAACTCATCACAGCCTTGTGCGAATATCCGTATTGACCTGTGGCCACTCGCATTAAATCCTATCGAGTTTAGTCTTGCATGATGTTCGACCTCCTCGAGGAAGGCTGTCTTAGAGCAATAGGAAAATTCATAGCTATAGCATTTAAGTGCAAATCTATCTTAGGGAGCACAAGATCAATACAAAAATGCAGCCATTTGTGCTTTTACATTGGATCTGTGCATATGAAAATACTTCATACACAGCACAGAACAGGTGGATAGAGCAGATATGACACAAATCACATTATGAAAAAAAAAAGCTTTTCTCCAAAACACGCTGGCCATAATTAATGGCTCCCTGTCATTAAATACTTTTTGCAACTTCCTTTTGCCAAGATAACAGCTGTAAGTTTTCTCCTATAATGCCTGATGAGTTTGGAGAACACCTGACCAGAGATCAGAGTCCATTCCTCCATACAGAATCTCTCCAGATCCTGCAGATTCACAGATCCATGTTGGCGCTGCTTCTCTTCAGTTCAGCTCACTCATCTTCTATAAGGTTCAGGTCTGGGGACTGGGATGGCAGAAGCTTCATTTTGTGCTCAGTGACCCATTTTTGTGTTGATCTTGATGTTTGTTTTGGACCGTTGTCCTGATGGAAGATCCAACTACGGCCCATTATAAGATTTCTAGCAGAGGCTGTCAGGGTTTGATTTTTTATCTGTTGGTATTTAATCCATGATGCCATGTATCTGAACAAGAAGTCCAGGACCTCCAGCAAAAAAAATAGGCCCACAGGATATAAGATCCAGCAGTATATTTAACCGTAGCAGGCATGGGGTACTTTTTGTCCCTGTTTGCACCAAACACATCTGGTGGGTTTGCTGCCAAAAAGCTCTTTTTTGTTTTATCTGACCATAGAATCCCTTTTGATATGTATCCCGGTTCCTTTTGAAGATCCAGTCGTGTCTGACAACTGAATATTCTGGAGTTTGTTTTTGGACGAGCGAGGAGGATTTTTCTTGAAACCCTCCCAAACAACATGTGGTGATGTAGGGGTTGTTTGTTTTTTGTTTTATAGGCTTCTGACCCCAAGACTCAACTAATCTCTGCAATTCTCCATCTGTGATCCTTGGAGAGTCTTTGGCCACTCAAACTCTCCTCCTCACCGTGCATTAAGACAATATAGACACACGTCCTCTTTCCAGGAAGATTTGGAACATCTTTAGTTGATTGAAACTAAACTTCCTAATTATTGCCCTGATGGTCAAAATAGGGATATTTGATCATATTTTTGATCATATTTACCAGTGATGCCAATAATTCTGACCACAACTGTATATGCATATATATACAAATGTATATATAGGCTATATATATGCGTGTGTGTGATTATATTTTTACTAAATGCTACTTTCCTCTAAGAACTTATGGGTTTTTAAAATAGTAATTTTCGGTTAATCAGTAAACTTCTGTTTTGTAAATCTGATTATGCATACACTACCATTCAAGTCTGAGGTCATTAAGATTTGTTTTGGAAGAAATTGATACTTTTATTCAGCAAGAATGCATTAAACAGTAAAGTGACAGTAAAACTAGTTTACACAAAAATATGAAGAAGCACAGCTGTTTTCAACATTGATAATAATAAGAAATGTTTCTTGAGCACCAAATAAACAGAGTGATTTCTGAAGGATCATGTGACACTGAAGACTGGAGTAATGATCTTTTTATTTTTGAAGAATTAATTTGACAATTCTTCAAAAATAAATAAGTTTAACTTGCTGATATTCAGTCTATTTTGCATCTTAGTGCTGGAGTTCTGTCTGTGATACTGATTACTTGTCCATGTTACAAACAATATATATGTATAATGTTGACCTTTAGAAATAAATCATTTGGCATATGATTGTATGACAATGTGTTTATTACTAAAAACTAAGTGTATAATAGATTTAGCCTTTATCTGTGTGTCATTTGATCATCAACCTGGCACAGACCGGTCAAAACAGTCAAGAATATGTACAACTGACAATATCTGCCTAAACTGGGTCTAAAAACGGCATAGTCTTTCTTAGGATCTGATTTGACCCACATAGTTTCAACAAGAACATTTCTATAGTCCACAGCACATGACTTTACATTTACTGTACATGAGGGTTGACATGGATGTCCTTCATTTCAGTCATCATTACTGTCGTCCGTTGCTCCATTCCAGTTTAACAGAGGTCTTCGGTCTGAGGGGACAGACGGCTCGATCCGCTGCCACCGACTGGGCGGCCAGATGATGTGAGACGCCCGGCCGTGGATAAGACCCAGGGAAACCTGCGGAGATCACAATCATCAAGCTAAGCTACCACGAAAAGCTCTATAAAATCAAACAAAACGGTCGATTTCTAAAGGAGAAAGTAGCTTTTGATAGGCTGTCGTTTAACAAAGACCAACTGGAACAAGAATTAGATGCTTTTCTCATCTAGTGAATACGAAGCAATATATCTCTAGCTAGAAGAGAACAGGACCTCATTGCTTTTTATAGCCAGAAGGACATGGGAGACATTCCAACAAGCTCCCAAAAAACTTTGCTTTGGAGGGTATTGTAAATACCTGCGAGGTTTGGAGGGACTTGAAGAGGTGATAATGTTCTCACCTGCAGGGGATGATACAGACCTCACAAATCTTTGGGTTTAACAGCATGACGACACCGCAATACAAGGTTAAAATGCTACAGAGAAGCTCTGAGAAGAATCTTACCAGTCCAGAATCATTTTAGTAGTGTTTGTTAATATTTAAATAGATAATAGTTAAAGTTTTAGCAATTTCTTGTGGTTTTTTTTGGTAACATAAAAAATGTATGTCTATATCTGGGGCTAGGCTAGAAATGTTCGAGTGGGCGGGCCTTCATAAAGCAGGATGGGAAAAGTGTAAAGTACAATAACAGTATAAATATTAGGCCTATGAATGACTATAAACTTTTTTTAACTGTAAACAGATGGGGCTTCTGGTTAAAACGCAAATTATTTCATCATAATCAAGTGTCTTTGTGAGTTCGTGTTAAAGGAATTTAAAGGATTCCGTTGCTTGTAGCAGTACAATTTTGATATCCAATTTAGGCTTTTTAAAGTAATAAAAACTGATAGATATTTGCTTTGCCATTTTCAAATTAAACTGAACACAAACGTGAAAATCTTACTACGTCCTTACATGGTTAAGATAACATTGTTATATTTTGTCACCTTCCTGACCTAAAATAATTGCCTAAGTCATTTGAAAATGAAAATGACTTGGGCAATTATTTTAGGAAGGTGACGATTGATAGCTTTTTCACTTGTCTAAGTTTTGATAAACCTGTTAACCATCACCCCTGTTTTGAACCTAGGCCATGTTTACACCTGATATAAAGATTCGCTCTGGGGTGCATTTCCCAACTATGGTCGCAAGTTCCATCGTTGCCAATAGAGTTCAATGGAAATTGCGATCATAGTTGGATAACGATGCTTTCGGGAAACGCACTCCTGATCGATCGGATCACAAGTGGATGACGCTAAATACAATACAAGTGTAAACGGGGTCTAAAACGTTTTGAGCTTGTCATCTTTCAACCACTTCCAGAGGTAGTCGAAAACGCATTTGACCGGATTGCTTTCATAGTGTAGACGCTCATGTGGCCGAATGTGTTCAAACCGCTGAAAAAGACGCCTACTCTCCGCCTACTGAGCTAACGTGTAAACATGATGGGAAGCGCTATAGCCAGATGGCTGGGATTTAAACTTTGTCGGCTGGAGACCTAAGTTTGGTTTGAAGATGAAAAACGTACCAAGCACATGCTCTCTCACCATTCCTGATGTCTAACACACTCTCACAGCGTTCGGCATGATCTTCTGGCTATCAGAGCAGAAACAAGAGCTGCTGCTCTCCGTGTTTTTCCGTCATCTCTGTGCACGTTCATAAGTCAGTTGTGTGTGCTTATCTTTTGATATTTCACATCGAAAGATGTGAAAAAACCCCCCCCATAGATTTACCCGCCCATAGACCCTCCCCTCGAAGAAATCAGGACAGAAGTGGTTGAAAGTGAACAAAAGAGGAGTCTTCACCCTCCAGTCTTCACCCACAAACGTTCTACTTTCTTCTTTTTGTGTTGCACTGTAGAAAGGAGAAAGTCCTATACAGCCCTATGAGGGCTAAACGATGACAGAATTTACATTTTTGGCTGAACTATTGCTTTAATTCCAAAAATTGGATGTCTGAGTCGAATCCGTTTGACATTTTGGCTGTTTAGTGGGCAAAATAAACACACAGTCAGGATTTTGTGACCCGACTTTCAATCAGTGCTTTGGGAAACGCTGGAGTCGATCTTGTCAGTATTTTTTAGAATAAAAATAATTCAAACAACAACATTAGAAGCCAACGCAGAATTAAAGATCAATCTAAATTCTCAGAAAGATTTAAATGTTGTCTTGAAAATGGCATTGAAAAAAAAAAGGACACGGTTTTCCCTCCATACACACGTAAACAGACACATCTTGCTCCATTATTATACATCAAGTCAAGGTAAAAGCGCAGTCTTTACTGATAAAAGTGAAGGCAATTGCCTGAAACATCCAACAAGTGTATTTGCATAGTAATTTAAAACTTGATGTTTTTTCACCAAATATCCCTCCCTTGCATGTTCTGGCCGGTCTTTGGAGAGAACAGAAAGCGTTTTGGGTAATGGATGTGAAACAATAATAAAAGAGACCTAGGACGTATGTGGTTCAGTGAGAAACGTATTAATTTGCTTTCTGACAAGAAGCATCATTAAAAATCTGCCTGAGGACAAACCTCAGCGAGTACTGAAGGTACGCAACAAAATCATGCTGAGTCAGTGACTTAACAGACAGGGCCATTTGTTTTTCTTTCTCAGTCCAAGTAAGCAAAACCCAACATTTAAACATTTCAAGGACGAATCTTGATGTACTGTGAATGACTGCAGTGAGATGTCACATGGTTGAAATGGGAGAAGGAATCACTTCTCTGTTTAATAATGTATCTGAGGAGTCGTGCAGCAAAGCATCATCATCAAAGAACCAATAATACCTCAATCTCTATCCATTACAGACGGGGTATTCGAGCAAATCAAGGCTGTTAACAAAGTCCCTAGAAAGTGGCAATCTTTGTCTTTTTGTTGAATTTTTTATAACCACATCTATTTGTGGCTAAATCTGCCTACGGTGGTGGCTTTCAGAAAACATCCTTTGAAACTGCAGTTTTCATCGGTCACCTGTGGCATCAGACCAATGTATAACATCATGACAAAATGAATACCTGAATACTTCTTTTGCATGTTTCATTTTAAAATTTAAAATTCATATTCATATCAAATACATTTTTATTGAGCATATTTGCCTGCCATAGTCAATTAAATAACTAGTTGTGTACGTTATTTAGGCCTACACTGCCATTCAAAAGTTTGGGGTCAGTAAGATTTTTTTTATATGTTTTCGAAAAAAGTCCCAAGGCTGCATTTATTTGATCAAAAATACAGTGAAGATGTACATTTATTTAGTTATTAAAATAACTGTTTTCTTTCTGAATATATTTTCAAATGTAATTCAGCATCATTCATCATCAATATGCTGATTTACTGCTCAAGAAATATTTGTATCAATGTTGAAAACAGTTGTGCTGCTTAATATTTTTGTGTGAAAGCTCTGATACATTTTTTCCGGGATTCTTTGATTAATTAAAAAAAGATTCAAAACAACAAGATTTATTTGAAACAAATCTATTGCAACATTATAAACATCTTTGCTTAATAAAAGTATTATTTTCTTTAAAACAAACATTTATGCCAAATTTCTGAATGGTATGAATATAAAAAATATTAATAATAAATAATAATATTAATAATATATATAAAATATATGTTGTTGATGTTATTTTGAAACTTGGTTTGATACTTATTGGTAAAGTAACATGAATAAAACATTATCATTATTCTTATTTTGAGCTTATATTTTAATAATCAATTGTTTTTTAATGTGTTAAAGTTACACATTTCTCTAAATGCCCATGCCTAATAATATCAGTTAAACAGAATACTAATTTGAAACCACAACTTAAAAAATTGTATGCTACTAAATCAATTCAACAAGGTCGTTTACACCACGCTCTCTCGTCTCGTTTTGGTGCATACGTCTTTTCAATAACATTAAGAATCCAGTTATGATTCACACTTAAAATTCAAAATCTTTTGTTATTTTGGAGGAAAACAAACGTTTCGGTTCTCAGGCCTTCTTCAGTGTGTGAGGTAATCTGATATCACCCACTAGATGATGTGTGATTTTAGTTACTAAATCAAATCATCCATTGTGTTTAAAACATAAAAAAAAAATTGAATATGTTCAAAAATGTTGATTTCAGAGAATGCGTGTAATGTGCTGTTGGTGGTTCCCAAGGCATTGCTATGCTATTGCTATACTTGGTGGTTGCTTTATTATACTGTTAAAAGAGTTCATTCCTAATTGTGGCCACTAGATATAACTTGTTTCCATCCTTCAATGTTGACTAGAGAGTTTGTTCTTAGCAAGCAATTCATTGATTACCGGTCCAAATGTGTTGCTGTCGAAACTGTGGCCATGATGGTCTCCCTCGATCCACAGATGTCCATCTGGAACTCTTACAAAACGGTTTTTATATCCCAGCGTTCTGTTAAAGGAAAAAAAAATGTGTTAACACACTAATGGATTCTGATTGCTCTTAATGCAGGAAAACCAGGCTATTTTTCATTTTTCATTGTTTATTTTACAGTTGACCAATGCAATCCTGCATTTGGCTCTTGCCTCGCTCTCTAAATCTAAGATCAATAATTAATGTTCGCACAGCTGCCGCAGTCTTTGTTTTATATTTAAGATGACTTTCTGACAAAGCAATAGCTCATATCCATTGCAGCCAGTGCTGTGAGCGCTCTAGAGCGAGAGCGTGGAGGAGATTTTAGGATTTTTAAATGGTAGTTTTTCCAACCTCAGCCATCATAAAACTAAATTAACTTTGTCTTCATATGAATCATCTTGAAATCAAACTCTCGAAGTCACCAAGCCTGGGATTTCCTCGACCGAAACCCAAGATCACCTTGAGATTTAATGTTGTTGGCCATAAATTGTTTGATGAGACATTAATGTTTAATGATACTTACGGCTAAATGGCGCATTTTGTGCGATACAAGCATTTAAAGAGGGCCGAGTCTCAATTGACGTGTTTAATAAGCTCAAACAGATCCTTCTAGCGGTTTGTCTGCTGCTACAAAGGCCTGTTAGTCTGTGTAAACACTTTTCAGGCAACATTTTAGTGGCAAGAAAACAATATTCTTCCATTTCAACCCAAGAATCAATCATAAAGCCATCTAGGCCACATCAAACTTGGAGGTTCATTTCTAACTCCACCAACAACTTTCGAACAAACTTACTTGATGAAGTCACCCTCGATCCCAATGACCCGTTTGATGATCTTCTGCTGAGGGTTCTTCGGGCTCCTACAGAAGGAGTGAACAGATATGAGATGGTACAGCATTTGCATACTGATGACAGAACTGCTCTTGGTTTATTTGAGGATGCTGCTCAGCTCAGTGGATTATGGGGCATTAGGAACAGTTTTCGGAGACCAGATGGGTCTTATCTGTTGGAGAGTAAGTCAAGGAAAGACTCTGTGAAATGTCAAAACTCAATATTACTAGATCATAATAGATAAAAAAAACTTTGACTGAAAATAGCAACTTTGTTTCTCATACAGTAATTGTGACTTTACATGTCATAATGTGACTTTATATGTAGCAAATGTATTTTTCGTAACTGCAATTTTAAATCTCATAGTGTGAATTTATAACTCACAATGTGACTAGATTTATTATTTTCATCTTTTTTTCAGGCTTCCATAATTTCCAATAGTGAATTTCCATACATTTTCCATGACCTTTCCAATTATGTGCAATAAGGATTTCTCGATTGGTAACAAAAACTAAAAAGTAAAATGAAACCTGCAAAAGACAACAAAACCATTTAATATCATAGATCTATTATATTGTCGACATTATAGATAATCATAATACATTGCAGTCGAATAAAATTCATTTTCCGTGACTCTTTCAAGTTATAATTATTTAAAGTCCCGCTGTGGTGAAAATCAAGCTTGTAAATGTTGTTTATGTCTATGTGGTGTTTTTAATATGCTTTATATATGCACGTATACTAAATGAGGCAAGGGCTATTCAAGGAAAAAAAATTTAAATATGTAATTTTGGTGATCAAAGATGAGTTTTAAGGGATAAAACGATTGACAACAGGAAAGTTTCAGGCCTGTCAATCACAATGTGGGTCTTCTGATCCCACACAGCTTCACTTATGTTGAGTTCACAGCTCTGTAAGTATTATATCTGTAGTGTTTGAAATATTTGTCCCATCAATTTTAACCTGATCCCTCACATCATTAACCCACGATAACCCTGACCGTGACCGAGCCAGAACCTCGTCTTCGGGAAGACTGCAGACTTCTGAAACCTTTCTGCCTCTGGTTGTCACTCCATGCTTTATGGAATTTCGTGTACGGTAATCTTTTCTGCTTGTTGCCTTTCCGCAAGAACGCTTTCTCAGCTGCAACACACCCTGCCTGTAAGACTTCTTATAAGATGACTTCTCACGGCTGAAGTGTGTACTTTGGTGCCAAACGTCTCTCGCATGCTGAGCAAGCACTTCAGTGAGAAATTGCCTACTTTCTTTGTGACAGTTTGAACACCATGTCTTTGAAAATCTAGGCACATAAGAACCAAACCTGTTACTAGATATCAGTAAGAAATTTTGGGTCATCTTTTATTGAATAAAGTTTATTTGTGTTATAAATAAACAAACCCAACCCGCCCTACATTTTTTTCTTGTTCGAGAGGTTATTTCACTCAGATATATACATCACAATAGGTTAGAAAAGACTATCGCAACTTCTGCTTCATGCCGACTTAAACAACATATGTAAAGTTTTTTGTTGACCTACAGTATATAACGTGGTCCCAAAAAGAGACTACTCTTTATGCCAGAACTTTTCTGTTTTAAAATCCATTTATTTATTTAAATGTAACATTTATTTTCAGATTTAAATAATAAACACATTTTTTCACTGACCGCCACTGTACATCACTTCAAGCTTCCTGTCAGAACCTATGCGCCGTTAAAGCTTCAGACAGCTCTAGCTCACACACACACACACACACACACACACACGCACCTCCTCTGCAACAGCCCTGACGCTCAGACTGATTTGTGCTTTTCATTACTTCTGCGGGCCTGAATGTTGTTGGTGTTTATCTCAAGTGTTACATACAGCATGCTGGGAGAATATATTCTGATTTGTCAAGTAAGATTTAGCAGTAACTGCAAGAGCCCAGTTGAGTGTGTGTTAAGAACGACTTATCTAAAGGCTCCCAAAAAGATTATATTTTGTCCAGACTGGAAAAATGTGCAAAAAATGAGAAAGCTCTCATTATGCAGAGCTTTCCAAAAATACTATTGGTGGTAGTAATCTATATAGACTCCATATCACTCACACTCTCAAATAAAGATATATTTACTATATAAAAAACAAAACAAAACAAGAATTGTCAATCTTTATCTCATGGTGAATTTAATGCATCTCAGTATTAATTTTTGTAATATAACCAATTTTGTATCCACGTTGGGACACTACGCAAATTAATAGTTCACCCAAAAATGAAAAACATCCCATAATTTACTCAACCTAAAGCCATCCTATGTGTATATGACTTTCTTTTTTCAGCCGAACACAATCTGAGTTCAAAATAGTAAAAGTAGTTCATAAAAGTAATCACACGGCTCCAGTGGGGTTAATAAAAGCCTTCTGTAGCGAAGCGATGGGTTTTTGTAAGAAAAGTATCCATATATACAACTTTTTAAACTATAATCACCGGCAACCGCAACGTACGCGTGTTCACGAGAGAGGCGAGTTCCAGGGGAAGAGTGACAAATATATGGATGCACTTTTTGGAGCTTCAAAAAAAAAAACTCAGGCTCTATTCAATGGCTGCATCTGAAATCGCATACTTCCCTACTATATAGTGGGTGAAAAAAAGTGTGTGACAAAAGAAGTATGTCCAAATTCACAGTAGGCGGCCGCCTACTCATAAAAGATTAAGCAAAAAGTACCCGGATGACCAACAACTTCCGTTGAGATTCTGAAGTGTGCATTCGATGGACACTTTACTATCCCATGAGGCCACGGGAGAGGCCTCATAGTAAAGTGAATATGGCACTGAAGAGACGTAACTGATGCTGGTAGGTCACATGGCAATGACAAAATGTAATTACTTATTCAAAATAAGTAGCCTACCTACTTCAAGAGAGTATACAATTTCGGAAACAGCCAACATCATTACAAACAAAGGAATAGTTCACCCTTAAAATTTTCATTTTTGGATGAACTATTCCTTTATTGTAAAATCTGAGCAAAACCACTTGAGAACCACTACAACATTTGCATATTCAAATAGCGCATCTTTATCAGAGACAGCCTCGGAGGCAGAGTGCAGACAACGACAAATAGAGATTAAGTTAACAAGGCAAAGATAGAGAGAATGTGGGAGTATGAAAATATGGAGCGATGTAGTAGCCCCGCCCCCTTCTTGCTCATATGTGACCCGATCTGGCGAAATGAGTCGGAAGTCGCAACGTTCTATTTTAAGATATGGGCCGATTATGTGGAAAAACAATGAAATAATAGTTTTTTTTTTTTTGTGCTAATTTCAAAGAACAGACATTCAAAAATAATCTCCCAAAGTTTCGTAGTCCAGATAATTGAGTAAAGGTATCTATTATCTAAATTACTATTAAAGTTTACAAAGTTTTACTAAATTCGCTGGAAATGAACATTGCTTTTCTCAACTCCTCGCGTCACCTCTGAGCATTTCCCGGGTATCCCCTGAAACGTCACTATCTCTGCTCTTTAAATGGTGTTACACGTTGTATAGAACCAATCAAAAAGCTTAGAAATGTACACCAACGCTGATCATTTGTCGATGGGAAGCCGTTTCGACTGACCGGCACGCGATTGGTCCAGCCACCCTCCTGTCAGACTCGCAGCGAGCGCTCTGTGTAATAAACAAGCTAGCAGATCTCCTCAGAAAGATTAAATATTATTAATTTGAGAAATGTCGCTGTCAAAAGCGAGCAAAGTTGCCAAAGCGTCATCAAGCCCCCTGGCCATTGCACACTGAGTCCGCGTTTTTTTCGTATGCGTTTTTTCGTATTGATTCGGTGGCTCCGAATTGTCAAAACACCATTCAAACTGCTTGCTACGGATGCGAAAAACTTACGATTGTTTTTATATAACGGATGAAAGTGTCGTAGTGTGCACGCGTGATTGACATAACGTGATTGACAAATGTGAATGAGTGTAGCTATTTATCTGCAAGGAGAATTCATTAATGTGTTTAATTAACCCAATATTTGTTGGTATCTCTGTTATGAATTTGTTATGCTGTTATTGTCAACTAGCCTACAGATATAAATTGCATAGACTAGCATTATTTGATCTGTTTCCTTGTCTCTCTGCCTCTCACTTTCTCTCCCACTCACTCACACACACACACACACACACACACACACACACACACACACACACACTCTCTCTCTCTCTCTCTCTCAAGCAATGTAGCACCTCTGTTCAATCTTTCTGATTTTAGTACATTTTTGTAAAAGGTAGGCCTACTGTTAAATTATTTATTCAAATAAAAACTTTAAAATAATTTGAGCTTCAGCCTGGTTTAATAGCATTTATATATTAATGTCTTTGGTCAAATTAAGCTGTAAAATAAATAGTTTATCCCTTTAAATGTAATGGATTTTGAAAGATATCAACAAAAAACGGGCAAAAAACTTTAAAAGCGATTTTCTCAGGTTTTCAATTGGAAAAAGAGGGCAGACGACCATACTTCAAATGTGTATATCTTTACAACCATTCAAGGTATGACTTTGACTAGGATATCAATTGAAAGCTTAAGGTCTCCTCTTTCCATTAATACCAAAATCTCAATTTTTAAATTTGGGTCACTGTGACTCATTTTGCTGGATCAGGTCACATATTATGGATGAGGGAGCCCTCATCTGACTGACAGCACGGCTCGACCAATCAGCGTGCACCAAACGCGCGAACGACAGGCAGCAATTTGCCTGTCCCCGGGGAGACTGTGTGGAGGGTGCGCGCACGAGCATGTGTGTATCATTAGGAGCGCGGCACACACAGCTGGATGGATACGCGCTTCTCCGCGGTGCGCTCAGCATCTTTTCCAGTAGAGCCGTATGGAGAGAGACTCCACATCTCTCAAACACTCAAATAAAGCTCAAATTCACTTGGAACTAAACCACTATAACCCCACAAGTCTGGAGATTGAGAAGAAAGGAATACATTATGCGTTTGAAACAAGGAATCTCATTCTCTCCGGTAAGCGCGGCTCTCTCACACTCTCATGACTCA